GGCTGTCTTTGGACATGGAATCCTGCCTCAGCTTCTTGAGTTCCTGGATAACAGATATTCAGTACTATGCCTGATCTTTTAATGAGGCTGACTAGATTTTTTTTTAAAACATGCATAAGTCAATTTATTTTTGTGTGAATGTTCTGAAAATAAACTTTTGCTCCAATTATGTGGATGAGGATTGGAAAGTACATTTAAAAAAGGAGACGGAGACCTGATTGTGCTGGGCTTCTGACATGTTCAGGGGTTTTGCTATGTGCTTTACACGTATGGCTTCCTTTCATTTGTTCTCACAGCAACCAACAGATGCCATCAAGCAGATGCATATTACCATAAACGACAAAACCACATTTGAGATTGTACTGATATGTGTGCAGGGAGCAAAGGAGTTTTGTAATTTTATCCATTTTTTCTCTGAGAAGAGTGGAGGTAAATGAGACCCTGAAAGTTAGGAAAGAAGAGCTCCTGTCCCAAAGCTAACACCTCCACGGCCCTCACTGGACCTGGGTTGGGGGGAGCTAACACCTCCATGCCCCCTCACTGGACCTGTGGGGAAGCTATCACCTCCACACCCCATCACTGGATCCAGGGGGGAGCATTTTCTGCTTTGACTTGGTTGTTATAAGCTGTATAATGTTCAGTGTATAAATGTTCAGAGTTGTCTTTGGGGATTGATATCCCAAAATGGTAAGGAAAACATGGAGCGGGCATGGTGGAGGTGGGGGTAGAGGTTGGGGTAGTCTACCCTGTGGATTTATTATGTAGCACCACATTTTCTCTAAGGCCCCCAGCAAGAAAATAGTATAGTCACCCATCAATCAAGGTTTCACTGGACATGGGCGGGATCTGAAAGCACCACGAGAGTGGCGATGCTCGTGGAAATCTCCATGTGACTTCAACTGAACACACGAGTGAGGGTGTGCCCTTGTTCTTCTGCCTTACCTATCAGTTTCACTCAAGGCCCTTGCCCCACTTATTTTTGAAACACTTATCATTTGGCTCCTGGTTTTTAAAAAAAGATCTTTATTTTATTTAAGTGTGTGTGTGTGTGTGTGTGTGTGTGTGTGTGTGTGTGTGTGTGCCCGCACCCAAGTGAGTTTATGTGCACCATGTGGATGGTGACTGAGGAGGTCAGTAGAGGACATCAGGTGGTTTGAGCCACAGTTTGGGTCTGTAAGGCCTGTAAGCACTCTTAACCGCTGACCACCACCGAGTCTCTGGCTCCTGACCACGGCCCACTGCCCAGATCTTCTGACCATTCCTTTTTGGTTTCTCATGTAACCTGCAGGAAATGCTCCTAATATGTATAACTCCATCACATTTCATTCTGGGATCCCAAGTCTAGCTTGTCTATATACTACCCTTCTATTGTCTTGTATGCTGAATCTGCATTTCAAATACAATGTGCAGAATCAAGCTACTGAAGGTCCATGTCCAGAGGCTATTCCTTCTAGTTTCCTTAACTTCAGAAATGAAACAATTTTCTTCCAGTTACTTAAGCTCTCAACATATGGGGAGGCTAATTTAGGAAGTCCAGAGCCTTTATGTCTAGGCCCTTGGTTTCATCAATAAAAGCATTTATGAAGGTTATAGCACGTTGCCAAGCAAAGTTTCTTACTGTATCCCCAAAGAAGTTCCATGAACTCCATGAGGGATAAACACCATGAAAGCTGCCAGGAGGTGATGGTGCACACCTTTAATCCCAGCACTGAGGAGGCAGAGGCAGGCAGATTCTGTGAGTTTGAGGCAAGCCTGATCTATAGAGCGAGTTCCAGGACAGCTAGGGCAGTTACACAGAGAAACCCTGTCTTGAAAAACAAACAAAACACCCCCTCTCCAAAACAGAAGATCTGTTACAACTAAACCGTGGAAAGACAATATAAAGAGATTCTTGGAAGTATCACAAGAAAATATATTGTTAACTAGAAAGGAAGAGCCATAAGGCTCACAGCTGATTACTCATCCAAACCTATGGAGGCCAAAAGCCAGTAGATGCCTAGTCACAAAGAATTGTCTAGCTGGCAATTTTTTTTTCCAGAAATGAGGATCTTAATATATCCCCAGATGAAAAAAGCCTTGGGTTTACTTGTTCTACCATGTATCTTAAAGAGGATCTTCAAGTTGGAATGCAAGGGTTTTAAATAGTAGCTCGAAGTTGTATGAAGAAACAAAGCCTTCAGTAAAGGAAACTGCACAGACAAACACATCCACCACAGGATGCTATACCTGGTCTTTTCATTGGTTTTCTGGTAAGGAACCTCAAAAACTGTTGGAATTTCTTGTGTGGTAAGCATGTTTTGTTATTCTAGTGAGACAACTCATTGTGGGTCATCACATGCCTTCAGTAAGGTCACCATGTGATTATTTAAGGGAAACTCTGGTCAAGGCCAACCTCTAGAGGATAAGGCTGAACGCTGACTTAATCACTTATACCTTTGTCATGTAAATCTCTCCCCAAATCTCTGGGCACAGAGGCTATGGAGGGCTACTTGATGGCAAATGAATGCTTTTGTTAAGACAGTGACATGGTCATATTTCCCCAGCAGAATACATGATTACCCTGTGTCCGTCCCACAAAATTGCCCTCCATGACTTTTCATTTAGTTGCTTCTGATCTATAGTCTTTATAATAAAGCTATAACTGAGTTTCATACAGTCCTGTCAATGGATTCTGTGAATTGTTCTATTGAATTACCTAAGCTGAGGGGACATGGAAACTCCCAAATTCACAGCTGGTTAGTAGGAAGTATGGATGGTTCTACAGTCTTATAGTGGTTATGTTAGTAGTCAATCAAGCATGCTGCTCTAACTCTGAGTAGTTAATTTCAGAATTCAATCCCAAAATAGCCCTGTGAAGCAGATAGCTTGAATGGATAGCTTAGCATCCTAGGACCTGCATGGAAAGTAACTGGTTCCTTTGGCTTCGTGTCTCCTAACCATCTCCTAACATTCAATAATTCTGGAGTACATTCTAGAACTAGAGGTGGCAAGCTTATTCAGCCTGAAGTGTTTTTGGGCTCATGTTCAATAAACCAAATGTTGACTTCTGAGTGAATATTTAAGGAAAATCTTCTATTTGTCATTTCATGCCAATCACCGGAAGGAAAGGTGTTTGCTAAGAAACAATTTCGTGGAACTCAGCCACAGATTCCCCTGGAGTTTTAGACTGTAAAGCAGCTCAGATTGGCTCCATCCTGATGTTTTGAAGGTGTACCTGCTTCTAAGCTAGAGTAGCTATAAGAGAGTACCAGGAAAACAGGATGTCAAGGAAGTCATTTTCTCAGTGCCAATTATGTTCCAATGGGTGGATAGCCACCCTTGGCAGTATTACCTCTGGAGTGGTGCTACAGGCAGGCACTGGGAAGAGAAGGGGCTGACCATAGACATTGTTTAGCAACTTGGGCACTTGATAAGGCAAATGGAGAGATGCAGAGTGTGTGTGACCTTCATTATATCCCATGCTTTGTTCTATCCAAGACTAAACCAGTGAGCACTGGAAAGAGGGAATTATTATGTAACTTGACCCATAAGTGTCTGACATTTTTAATGTTTTCTTTAAAAGAAAGTGAGCACACACATAATCTTCAGTACTCTAGGACCTAACAGTACAACTGGAAGAGAACTGCTCACTCTTGAAAGACAGTTTCTGATATCAGACACGTTCTCTACAGTAGCAGGTGGATGCAGGAAGAATTGTGAGCAAATTGAAGCCTGTCCAACTCAAGGACTTCTTATCCATCTGCCCAGTTACTCTAAACATCTATGGCAGGGAGCCTGGGCTAAACACAGTGGCCTAATCAACAAATTAGGAATATCACCCATTACTAGCTGTAAAGCAAAGGATAACCAGACTAGAATCCACAACTCCAGAGAAGCTAGATAACAAGGAGGACCCTAAGAGCCATGGATCGTCCTTGTAAGGGGAAGTAGATGAGATCTCCTGCATAAACTGGAAGGAGGGGGACAACAACGGGGAGGGGATGGAGGATGAGAACAAGAGGGAATAGGATGGTTAATAGGGGGAGGGACAGAGTAGGAGAGCGATGAATGAGATATCTTGATAAAGGGAGCCATTATGGGGTTAGGGAGTAACCTGTTGCTAGGGAAATTGCCGGAAATCCATAAGGATGACCCCAGCTAAGACTCCTAGCAATAGTAGAGAGGGTACTTGAACTGACCATGTCCGATAGTCATATAGGTGACTAACTGTCATAATAGAGCCTTCATTCAGCAACTGATGGAAGCAGATGCAGAGATCCACAGCCAAGCACCATGCCAAGCTTTGGGAGGTCCAGCTGAAGAGAGGGAGGAGGGATTATATGAGGAAGTGTGTGTGTGTGGTCAAGACCATGATGGGGAAATCTACAGAGAGAGCTGAACCAAGTTCGTGGGAACTCATGAGCTCTAGACCAACAATTGTGGAACCTTCATGGGACCAAGCTGGGCCCCCTGCGTGTGGGCAACAATTGTGTAGCTTGTTTTATTGGGGGGGGCTGGCAGTGGGACTAGGATCTGTCTCTGGTGCAGGAGTTGGCTTTTGGAGCCCACTTCCTAATAATGGAATGCCTTACTCAGCCTTGATGCAGGAGTGATGGGCTTGGTCCCGCCTCAATTTAGTGTGCCAGACTTTGTTGACTCCCCATGGGAAGCCTTACCCTTTTGGAGAGGTTGATGAAGGATGTGTTGGAGGGTGGAGGCAGGGAGCAGGAGGGGTGGGAGGAGGAAATGTGGTTGGTATGTAAGATAAGAAAATATATAAAGTTTTTTTTAAAAAAGGAGTATCATCCACAACTCCACAGCATAGACTTTGATTTTTGGCTTGTTGTTGTTGTATTTTTCTTAATGAGAATAGGGGAACTATTTGCTTTAGTTGTTTAATATTCTACAGTCGTTCATGTTCTGTGTGGCAGGAACTGACCTGTCTCCCTTCTTTAAAAAGATTCCATGTTGCTATAAGAAAGGTCCATTAAAAACAAGGGATAAAGAAAACCACAAGGTAATAGTGTTTTAAAAAACATTTTTAATGAAGAAATAATTCCATTCCAAAATATAGACACACAATTAAATAGTTTAATCACTTCAAAATATAACATGTCCCCAGGAGGTTCCAACACATACACACACACACACACACACACACACACACACACACACACACACACACACAAAACAATACTTGACAGCAATATCAACAAAACAAAACAACATATTATAGTAGTTTTGTTACCATACCAATGAATATTGTGAACTCTTAAGTGTTTCTGAATTGGTTATTTCAAATGGGGTCAAATTACAGTAGTCACAATTTAAATGTCTCATGTTAATTAGCTTCAAGATGCAATGAATACTTCTGCTTTTTTTTTTCTTTTCATCCTTTTTTTTTTTTTTTTGGTTCAAAGTAAAAATGCCCTGTCTTCTGGCAACACAGTGGAGTTATTTGCTTGTGGCTCCTTGTGTGGAGTTGAACCAAAGTGAATGTAGCAACCAAAGGTTGCCATATTTACAAGATCTATCTACACTTAACAGCCAAGAATTAATAATGGTGGACGAAGATGGTCAAAAAAGAGCAGACACCAGTGCTAAATTATATTGCAACAGTTTGGCTCATGCATATAAGAAAATACAGTATATATCACACAAAGGCCACAATCTTAATGCAATTCAGTTCACATTACTACTTACAAATGAACCTTCCCTGCCTTATTGTAGATCATCTAGTAATCCATCTTCATAATCTCCAACACGTCTCCCTCTGACCAACCAAACTTACCCCAACTTCCATCCTGACAAACCACAACCAATTCCTGAATCTTATACAGTAGATTTCACCCACCTCCTGACCACTGTGCTGTGGGGGAGGTTTGGCGGTGCTAGACCAGTGCTCATTCATAGGCCACCAGCTCTTATGGACATGGATGTGCAATTCATTGTGGGACAAGAAAGAACAACCCCTGCAAGATATAGTTGAGTAGAATGAACAGGACAGATGAAACCTGCTGGGTTTGCATTTAGAACAGACCCCAAAAGTAAACTTGGAAAGCCAAGGAAAGGAATCCACCGACAATCACAAAACCCCAGAACAATACACGCCATTTTGTCTCGGTTACAGGACAGGGGTGCTTGAATCTGGTCTCAGTGCTGACTCGGAGCTAAGGGAAAGAAAAGGTGGCTGGTTAGTGAGAAATTGCTCACTGGTAGTGGTTTCCAGAGAGTTCCTGTAATGTCTTTGTACAGTGGAGTTGATATCATGGGACGGAGCTGCTTGGTTGTGGGAGCCGTGATAAGAGGGAAGGTTTTCAGTAGAATGGTTCCAACCTTAGACACGCACTTGATGTAGAAACCCAGAGAGACAACATGGGTCAGCTCAGTCCAACCAGTGGCTGATGGCCACCAGTGGGGCCTACGTTCTGATGTCCTATGTGGCTCTGATTTGAGCTGACAGAAATGCAGGTATCAGGGATGTAGTGGTTTTCAGTACTGAGTATGGGGCACCGGTGGCCACCTGCACCATCGAGAGATGTGTGATTTCACAAAGGATGGGCAGGGGAAGAGAGATGAACATTAAGACACACCAACAAAACCCACAATAAAATCCACCTGTGCAAAGAAATCAGAGAACTGTGCGGGTGTGTAACTTTGGTGCTAGCCTGTGCTCAGGGAATTTTTTTGAGGCGGGTTTTCTCGAAAGAAACAGACCAAGAACACCCAGGGACAGCTCAGGGTCTTCTATTGATGCCAGTCAAGCCCTCAACTACCCTCAAGGCAATGATTTTGTTTGAAGGGCAGTCACGGAGAAGGTTTCTGACCAAATGCAGAGGCAAGAACATCCAATAGCTCTTTGCAGACAGTGAGTTCTTAGCCTCTCAAAATAGTCTAGGTGTATGAGGTGGGAGGAGGCTTTTGCCAGCCAAGTGAGCAAATTAAATCTGAGGTCCACTTAGAACATTCCTCATTTATTCTGAACACTTTTCCTCCTCCTTCAAGACAGGGTCTCATGTAGCCCAGGCTAGCCTCAAACTCACTGCAGCTGAGGATGGCCTGGAACTCCTGACCTTCCTTCCTCCATCTCCTGAGTGCTAGAATCAGAGGCATGTGTCACTATGCCAGGTTTACACAGCTCTGGAAGCTTGAACCCAGGGCTGTGTATTTGCTAGGCAAGCACTCGACCAACTGAGTTACAACCTATCCTGGATAAGGCCTTTTCCAGTCCCTGCTCTACGACTCTATTGTAGAACAATGATTTCCATCTTATAGCATACATCAGAACTACTAGCAGGGCTGATTCAAACATGGATCTCTAGGCCCAAACCCAAGAGTTTTGGATTCAGTGGGTCTGTGTTGGAGCCTAGGAAACTGCGTTGCTAAGACTTTTGGGTGACATGAACATTGCTGGTCTGAGGGACACAGTCTCAGAATCATTGTTCTGCAATGATGTTCCCTTCTTTCTTTTAGAAGACAAACTCAGGAATTCCAGAGAGGCTGCTAGTTTAAGACAGCCACCAGGTGTCTGGCTTTTCCTTTTCCTTACACATCAGATCTTGAAATAACCAATTACTTTTCCATTGCCCCCAGAATCACTGAGGGAGGCCCTTTTGAGGTCTCTCTAATGAGGGGCCTTGTGAAGGACCATCCACAGGCTTTATCCCCTTGTCTTTGACAATTCTTTCACACGCCAGCTTCAAACTGAGTGTGAGATCGAGCCCGATACCACACAGAAGAGCCTGTCTCCTTTCACATGACCACACAACGCTGCATGCAGAACAACAGGTGGCCAGGTAAGGCAATCAACATTCAGAAAGAAAAGCAGAGGGAGTGAATGTCTGCAAGCGCACTTTAAGCCCATACATTTAAAGCTGAAGGCCTCGGAACTACCCGATGAGGGAATGTGTCAATGAGCAGTGCTGGGTAAGACATGCTTCCTAAGGATACACTGTGGAGAGCAAGACCTGGAGGAGTGCAGATAACTGTCGTCCGTTGGGGGATCTTATGGCACCTGTGGTTTATAAACAGCTTTAGTAACCAGTATTCCAAAAACATAGTTCACAGTTTTTAAGAAGATCTGTGCTGATTTTAAAAACTAGATTCTATATCATTTGAATGTTGTCTCTTTTTGAATATGATATCTATTTGGAAAAAGTATTTACATTAAATTCTATGGCTGACTCATTAGAGTATCTTGAAGGAAAACACCCCAAAGTTGGAAATAAGCCCCCAAGAACCCATTATTCCTGGTGGTAGATTTAAGTAATTTCTCAGAGGGACTTGGAGACATGGGCAGGCCAAGGACCCTTCTTGGCTTCTGGGTTCTGAGTCTGGACACTCAGAAACCAAATCCTATTGCAGATTGATGTTTTCCCCTTTCAATTGCTGTGTGTGTGTGTGTGTGTGGGGGGATGTATAGTATATAATAAAACCGTTTTGCTAAAATCTCAAAGAATCCAGAAATGAAACTTCTAGCTACAAATAGTATTGATATTGTAATTGTAAACTGAATGGGTTCAACGTTGTGCGCAAAGGTTTAAAGCACTCGTTAATACTACTGTTCTGTGTAGCAGCAGCAGGCTCTCAACCTGTGGATGCTTGCTTTGAACCTGGGATGAGCCATGTTACAGGAGATGGAGTTGATAAATTGTCTAGGAACAGAAGTCATGTCCCCCCACCCCCCTTCTAAAACACACACCTATGAACTACACATCTTAGAACAGAAAGCTAGCTGCACTACAGGCATCAGAACACATCTTTAGGGTAGGGGTTGTCGGAGCTGCTGGATGTGGTGGCTCCTGTCTCCGAGCGAGGGTGAGGCTGCTGCCACGCTGCTGTCTCCCTCCTCTTCGTGGGTGCAGCTCTCTCCATCACCGGATGTCATGTAACTTTCATCATCTCTGTCTGACTATAGCTTGCCTGGGAATAAGGAGTGTGTAATTCTTTTAAACAGGTGAAAATTGTTTCTAAATTAGGGCTAAGTAGCTTAGAGTCCCCCCACCCTTCCCCTACACACACACACACACACACACACACACACACACACACACACACTGTATTCCTTTCCTATGAAAATCAGGGACCAATGTCTTGTGTCTTGGACACTGTGCATCTACTGGAAGAGATGTTGTGGAGTTCTCTTCACCAAGCCTCCTTCCTAAGGGATCCCTGGGGTTCCCCTGAGGCTTATGAACAGTTAAAGGCAAGAACGTGGTGGCTTAAAAACAGGCCCACAGCCTGACTTGAACACAGGAAGTCTTCCTGCTTCTTAATTTTCATGAATAGTCGCTTATTCATGAAGGACTCTGCCTCAGTAGCTAGCTGACTGATGCCAAACAAATGAAGTTTGGTTCAGGACCCTTTCATATGAGAGGCATGTACTTTGGGATAATTTTGGTATTATAGTATAGTTGGAAAGTTCAAACAAAAGCATACTAAACATACAGAACTTCTAAAATTGTAATTGTATTGACCTCATTAGGAATGGGCTAAAAGGACTTATAAGGTGAAATGCTGCTATTTTTTTGTAGTACCCTGTAAGATTTTAGATACATTTTGCACAACTGGCTGACTTAGTAATAGGTTGGTTTGTGTTTAGGCTCCTGCAGAATGCCATCTAATCAGAGTATCTCTGCAGTAAACGACAGACAGAGGGCATACCTGTTTCATTCTCACTACCAAATTTCCAAGAAAGTAAAAAATGAAAACAACAGGCTTTTAGGTACAAAAAGGACATAATACAATTTTTATATAGGTTTATAGCAATACAATTTTTATATAGGTTTATAGCAAGGCCATTGAATGGTTTCCTAATGTTTAAATAATACGGAAAAAAAATGATTAAATGATTGGAGCTAAGAAAAAGAGAATGCTATTAAGGGGAAGCCTGTTCCTTTGGGACTAGATTTGCTATAACTGGAGTGAATGTTTTCAGAAACAGCTTCTGGGAATATTTTTCACTGTAGTCATTGTGAATTAGGAGAGAGTGTGGTGTTCCATTTTTAAGTGGGGGGGGCAAGCAGAATGCACTTGAAGATTCCTTCTTATAGCTCAGAAGGTCTGCCTCATCAGTGCAATCTTATTCACTTGTTGTGAACCTGGAGGTGGAGCTAGGATGCTTGTAGTGTTTGACCTAGTGTGTATCCATTACTACTTGACATGTTGCTAAGGAAATAGGGTTATTCCTAAAATTAGCAACTAGTGTTGGCAGAGCGCATTATCAGCCACACTGTAGACTCTTGTGATTCCACAGTTGGGAAGAATTACGGAACTACACGGACACAAGTCCATTGGCCAGGCCAGCCTGATTGTTGTAGGAAGTGCACTAACTTAGGCTTTGAGGAGGGACTATCAAATGGCCGTTAGCTAGTGCTAGAGAAGCCATCTAGACTTAGGAGACAGTGTGTCCCACCGTTATTGCAGGTACTGAGTCCTGGCCTGTTTATAAAAGTTGAAATAACAAAGTCATTATGCGCCCCATAGCTTCACTACACTTCTGTGAGGACTGTAGCAGCTCCCCAGTACTGCATGGGATCTGAAGCATGTGTAGGCATGCATACATGTGCATGTCACAGTTAATTATGATGTGTCAAGCTCTTTACATATATCTTACATGCCCACCTCCTCTGTGTGAGGTAGGTATAAGACCATGACGTACAGAGGAAATTGAAACTCATCAAGGCTCAATAGTTTGTCCAAATATGATAAGTTTTGGTGAGAGTTGTATTTCAAAATGGTTCTAATAAAATGCACAGCCCAAGACTTAAATCATGATACCCAAGTGATTTTTGACAGTCAGTGTTTCAATGATGAAGAAAAAAGTCGCTTGAGAATTTGACCCATTATTAGATAGATCTTTAAAGTGGAACAATCCAAAGGACACCTTAAGTTAACTTTTCTCACACTGAACTCCTCAGTGGATTTGAATTAGTTGCCCTCAAAACACAAGTCTGCCTCCTGCTTCCCTCTTCCTTTGGTCCTGTTGTCCCTTGCTACAGTATACACATTTGTTCTTAGGGGACTAAGGAGCTGACATCCAGACATGCTGAAGTAGCTTGGTCTTTTCCTTCTCTGATGCCAGTGCTGATGTGACCTTGGAGGGTGGTGCACCTCAGCTGCCAAGGAAGTTTCTGTGACAACTGCCCTAATCAACAAGTAAAAAATGGACTCCAGGGTTGTCTGGGGGGATTTACCCAGATTATAATGAGCTCTGTAGTAGAAGTTACCACTTTGACAGCAGCAGAGAAGGCGCACACTACATCACACAGAAAGTGACTGTGAGCTTAGGCTAAGAGTCATCACGGCTTAGCCTTCAGTGTCCAAGCCTCCTCCCAAACAACAGGGTACTTACTTGAGAGGAGAGTGAGAAAAGGATTTTGCATTCAACCTTGCAAGCTGACCTGTGGGTGACAAAGGACAGAAACGAGAAAGGTGACATGTCAAGTCAGTGAGGCAGTCAAGCTGGTGAATTATTTGGCTGGAAGCCATGCGCAGAGACACACAGAGAAGGAGAGAGTCCAGAGATCGACAGATGCATTCCATTCATCCTGTCACCTTCAGCTTACACAGCCTTTGAAGAAAACCACTCCACCATATTCCAGGGCACGCATTTGAGTGACAGCACATGGGCCCCTCCCCTGCTCTTTCTCTTGAGATCATCAAGCATGGAGAGGCAAGGAGAGAGAGGAACCAGAGATTTACTGGGCATGGCAAAACTCCAGTTAGATCATTAATAGGACCCCCCTTTAATAATAATTCATTAAGAGTCTAATATTTGTTATAGGCTAGAGAAAAGTCATCTAAAAATATCTTGAATTACAGTTAAAGTTGTCACTAAACCCCAGAAACTGAAGATAAGCTTGAAGAACAGGGCCTGGTAGGCATCTCCAATAGCCCAACTGGGATGTTGATGATGTAGCCACATTTGTCTCCTGCATGTGCAGACCCACATGAGATGCATATAGGAAACCACCCCGTAGGCTTCCCAGAGACTCCCAGATGGCTTCATAGGAGGCTAGTTTCTTTCTATGGATGAGCCACAGAAGTCACAAAGAATGAGATTTAGCATGGCGTTGTACTCAGGTAAATGTTTGTGTAGCACAGGGGCATGGCTCTACACACTAATTATTGTCATTACTATTACCATTACTACTATTATTATTTTCTCATTGTCCCTGAAAGGCAGCTGCTAGGCTGAAAAGGCTAAAGCACTTGTCAGTCAACGCTTTATTCAGGTGAACTTGGGCATTGGTTTCTCTGCTGCCACGTACCTCTTGGGACCATTTCAAGGCTTGTTCTATTGACAACACAGAAGTCAGACCCAGTTGCCTCTCACCAATTCTCTGTTCTTCACTGACAGAGAGAGGGCCACTGGTGACCCAAGACTTCAGAGAAAGCTTGTGTGGCCATTAGACAAAAAGTCTAATAGGAAAATGATAACCAGCTGGGGCTGAGAGCAGCTGGTCTCTACCAGAAAAACATGCCTGAGTCCTCAGAGCCCAACCACACACCTGTGGAGAATAAGGCAGGAGAGCATCCCTGAGGGGTAAATTCATTACTTTTGGCAAGAGTGAGCAATTACATTATTCTTAGTTGCATGAGCTATGTTGTGAGAATTCTCAGATGTGTTAGTATACGTCAGCCTCTTTCCATGTCTACCTATCTGCACCTTGCTGATTGGGGGTTTACAGTTCTCTCATTGTGCCTCAGTAAGATCTATCACCTTTCTACTTATGTCTGATGTAATGTAGGTGATGAGGAAGTCACAGACAGTTCAGGGGAGGAAGTGGATTGGTGTTTGTTTCTCCTGAGTCATGTGTTCTTTAGATAGCTATCACTATTTTCCAGCTTTTTATTTGATAAGTGGGCTTTAATTTCTACATATAGTTTGCATGTGTGGTGTGTGTGCATGCAGGCACACAAGTTGGCAGGTGCATGTGTTGGTGGAAGCATATGGTGGCTCAAGGTTGATGTTGGAGTCTTTCTCTGTTGCTCTCCACCTTATTCACTGACGTCTAAGTGAACCCAGCTCTTACCAATTTGGCTAGCATGGCTAGCCTGCTTGCTACAGGGAGATCTTGCTTTTACCATCTGATTGCTGGTGTTTTAGCCTGGGCCACCACACCAACCAGATTCTGGGAACCTACCAACATCTTGTCCACTGAACCGCATCCCCAGGTTCCTCCATTTTAACTTAGGAAATAGACTCTAACAACCCTGAGGTGTTTGTGTTGGTTGTCACCATGATTCTGCCAATGTCACAAAGGCCCCTTTCATGTTCCAGATCAGAATTTGGAAGAATAGACAGCTACATGAGGCATTTAAAACATTGCTGCGTGGAATGCATGGACTGAGGAATACCACCAGAATATTCTGGAAAAGTAGGGAAGAAAAGGGGAGGAAGACCTGTGCTTTCAAGGAATGGGAAGGCCCCGCCATAGAGTGTGTGTGTGTGTGTGTGTGTGTGTGTGTGTGCGCGCGCGCGTGCATGCATGTTTGGGTAGGCAGGGGTGCTGCTGCCTCCGATACCTGGTAGGCCTCGTCCTGCAGCTTCTGCTTCAGGTACTCCTCCATCTGCAGCTCGTTCTCCAGCTGCCGCACGGACTCGTTCTCATAGTTCTCATCCTCGGGTTGAGCATAAGGACCCCCATCTTCTGGGACGCTGGGAGAAAAGTGAGAGGGGTTTGAAGTAGTCTTAACAGAGTAGGGTGGGCGCAATTCCTGTTCTGTGTTTTGCTTTCTTCCTTCATGTGTTTTCCCTGAGTCTCCCGTTCACTTTCCTGTCTTCCTTTGACTCAAAGGAAAATAAAACAAGAAAGGAGGAAGGAAGGAAGGAAGGCAGGCCTGAGGTTTGGAGAAATATTGATTAAAATATTTTTTATTTTAATAAAACCTAGTGAGGAAGTCCTTGGCCATTTATGTTTTCATAGGGCATAAAGGAATGATAGCCCTTAAAATGTCCTACAGCCTTAAACAAGGCAAGTTACTCTTTAGAGGTACAGTTTTATAACATGAGATTTTCTTTTTCCTTTCTGAAAGGCGAGTGGGCCCTCTAGTGAAATAAAGCTTAAGGAAATGCACACATGATTTAATTCTCTGTGTGCTGTATACATGCTTAACACACACACACAAACGCACACACACACACACACACACACACACACACACACACACGCACGCACGCACGCACGCATAGCCATATACACATGTGCACACAAACATGCACAGTCACGCTCAAGCATGTGTACACATATATGTAGGCATACTTTATGGTACAATAAGTCTTATAATACCAGTGACTTAATCCTAGGATATGCACATATAGCTTTTGACTTTACAAATTTTTACTAGCCCAGAATCTGAAAAATCTATTTGCATTGTTTAATTTCATTATAAAATAAGCAAGTAAGAATGACATCATTCAGAAATGAGGACTTTCCCACCTATTTCTCCCATATGTAAAGGGCATACAGGACTGAACACAGGTTCACCACCTAAAAACCACATTCTTGGGGCTAAAAGAGCGCTTTAAAATTATTTATTTATTTATTTGTTTGTTTCTTTTTCTTTTCTTTTCTTTTTAGTCAATGCTGACAGTAAAACACCCTCCAAAATAAAAAGATGGGTTAAAGAGAGATTCTGGGAGACTTGTATGAAGTCTCTATCTTTAACAAGCAGATAATTTGCTGGAAGCTGGTTCTGGTCCTTGCCAACCAAGGGAGAGAAGTCAAAGGTGAGGAGGCCTTTCACAGTCTTGAGTTTTAGGGCTGGGGTAAAGGTGTGTCATATAGCTACTACAAATAGCATAATAATAAAAAATATATATATTTACTAGGAAAAAAATGTCAATCCACCACTTGGAATAGCATATCAAGCAATTCTAGAGGTTACAGGAAAGGACAAGAAAATAAACTAAAAATAGAACCAGTCACACAGGTCACACACTGTCATTTTAAACAATGTTGTACCTGTTTTGTTCTGCTCTTACTGGCCACCGCTTCACAACTGGCTTTCAAAACAGGTCTTTATAACTATGTTACTTCTGGCCTTTAACTCATTACTTAGAATGAGAGCCAGAACACCAGAAGGACTTCTGGTTAGTTTCATCACTGGGCCTGTAAAACAGCCAGTTTATTTTGTAGACTAGTTTGAAGTACTGTTCACGCTAAGCATATCCTTCCGTTGTGATTTTAGTGCTTTCAGCCCTTGGCCTCTCTAGCCCCCGACACTGTGCTTCCTTCTCTTCCTTCTTCCTTTGTTCCTTCCTGTGCTGGGCTCTTCAGCTAGGTCCTTCATTTGTCCTTATATCACAGCCTTGGTTTCCTCTATTGATGGAGGGTCACAGCAAGCCTAGTGGGAATGTCACAGATGCTGCTGGCTTTGGTCAAATAATACAAACCTAGTTAGTCAGGTAAGGGGATGGATGAGAGAAGCCAGCTCTCCCTAAGGTGTTTGGTTAGGAGTCAAACATTCTTAAACACTGTTGGGAATGTTAATTCCTAGTCTTTAGTGTAAGCAGTCTTTACTTTTGTCCTATGAATGAGCAAAGCTGTAGGGAATTGGCTGTTTGCCCCAATGAAGGACAGCCTACGGGCCATTCTCTTACTGGCTGTCTTGAGGGGGAGGTTACCAGCCAAGCAGCATTATAGGCCAGAGGCTAGATTGCAATTCTGGAAGTCTGGCTGTTTTGAACTTGGTACTGTTGCTCTGAAGGAACACTACTTCTGCAGCCAAGGATTGCTGCAACCATGGGGGCTGTGAGAGCTACAATTCCTGTTTTCAGAGTCCTTCCTCTAGTCACACACACTCTAGGCAACTCCCATTGGCTTTGGAAGACTCCATTCTCTGGATTTTGTAACACCAAATAACTGCTCAGCTGATAACAATGATTGCTCAGGATGGGAAGGAGACACCTGTCCCATGACTCAGCAAAAAGTCAGCCAGCACTTGGTACAATTTGAGGCTTGTGATTGGCTCATAAGTAAGAGCTGAGAGACATATATATATATATATATATATATATATATATATATGTGTGTGTGTGTGTGTGTATACATATATATATGTGTGTAAATGTATGTATGATGTATGTATTCATATATGTATGATGAATGCATGCATGTATATAGTCTTTCTTGGAAGATATTTATCTTGGCCATTATCCCAATTTTGCCTACTTGTGTTTCTGGCTGTGTTGGTTGCATAAAGAGACAAACCTTTTTTACAGTAGCAATAATAAAGAGGTGGCTGAAGAGTTGGAGGAAGCCACCAGGTGAGGCTCTTGACCAAGCTATAACACCAGGAGCTCCAGAGAATGACTAAGGGCACACGGTTTTGACTAAGAGTACAAATGCTGGAAGCATCAAGGGAATGACAGACAGTGGAGAAGCTGAGAGTGTGGAGCTGAGAGTGTGGAGCTGAGAGTGTGAAGCTGAGATTGTGGAATCTATAAGCTGGGCTTTGGGCCTCTGGAATTCAGGGCAGCCAATGATTAGGGAGCTGCCCCTTGCCCATCTAGGACTTTTATGCACATAGAGGAAAATAATCCTCAGCTGTTTGTGATGACAAACTCTGCAAACAGTTTCTGAAGGACAGCTCTAGGCTTATTTAATAAATCAATAGAACTGGGTTCCTTTATAAAGAGATTCCATGTGTTTAATAACTTCTATCCAATGCCATTCTAGCACCACATCTGTCCCCTTAGTAGCAAATTCAGAAGACAAGATGACTTATCTTTTGAAGTGGCATAGGTGGCCTGGGAGAATGCCGTGCCTTTTATTTAGTACAAGTGACTTGCAATTTAAGGTTTTGTTTCCACTTTTTCCATGATACAGATTTGACATGCTTTCACTAGAGATCATACTTTGAGATTTGAATTAGTATTGACACCAAACTACACTGTTTTGTGATTTGGCACCATCAATAATTTGCACCCCTCTGTCAATCACATGAGTCAGAAGGCTAATGCTTGATTGACACCATACAGAGTGCTACTGGCATTTTGAGGCCACAGCACACTATACCCTATGGCTTAGTTGTATTAGATTTGTTTTTTACTTACAGGTAGTTTACTGGAGTGTGTCTGCATCAGGGGAGCCAGGCTTTAATTAAACACTCATTGTTTCAGGTTAATGAATACTCCCTGGAAATTGTTAAGGAAGAGCCCTCAGGACCAAACTTAAATAACTTAAATGCAGCACTCTTCTGCCTCTTCTGGTGGAACAGGGAACTGCACCCTTTCAGTGTTTTTTTTTTTTGTTTGTTTGTTTGTTTTTGTTTGTTCGTTTAACTTTCTAGAAGATGCTCCAAGAACAAAATACTCACATGTCACCTTGCATGGTACTTGTAGCTCCACCATGAATGTACCCAGGTTTTCGGGCATGGATTTGGGCAAGAAAAGCCTTTTCAGAGGTTGGTGATGGAGCCAGACCTTCAAACTGAGTTCTTCCGAATTCAGAATCCACAGTACTTTCTGTTTCACTCGCCACCTCTAGTGGGCAAAGGAAGAAACAGACAGTGACCTTTTAGGAGGCTTATGATCCAGAAATAAAGGCCCAGGCTCCCTAGGAAGATAGGGCCTAGAAACAAGACCCCCAGGTTCCTCATACAACAACATCAGTGCATCAGACACCAGCCATCCCCCTCTCAAAGTGTAAGTTGATCCTGAAATGAATGAACCGTAAAGTAGTTTGGTATTCAGCATTTTATTTTTTCTTTATTTGGGGCTGGAGAGGTGACTCCGTGGTTAAGGGTGCTTTCTGCTATTGTGGAAGACCGAGTTCCATTCCCAGCAACCATAGCACCTACATCCAACCATCTACAATCAAAGCTCCAGGGGATCAGAAGGCCTAGTCTGGCCTCCACATAGACAAAACATGTGCACAGGCACACGCATGTGCAGACACATTCATGCATACACAAAAATCAATTTCTTAAAATGTTAAGACCTTCTTTTGTACTTGACAATGATCAGATCTTCAAGAGGGACCCCAAGCATAAGGAACCTCCCACAACAAACCCACACATGGCCGGACCCCAAACACACCTGAATTCAGCTCTTTCACAAGACAGGACATAGTGTTAGTGATGGAGTCTGCGGCTACCAACAAGTCATTCCTTAAGTTCCTTCTTGAACCTTCAATGAAGAAGCAACAATTTAAAAAGCGTTACAGCCTTTCCTTCACAACCAGTTTCACGTTGCTTGTCTTATCAGCTCCTCTGAAAACCTACAGCAAGAGTAGGAGCTTTGGTTCCTTCCCTGAATGGATGGCCAAACAAATGAACAAACCAGCAAGCCCCAGACCTCAATCTTCCAGGATTTTACTTAAGGTTAATTACTACATACTTTGCAGTTTAAGCTACTAAATAAATACATACATAAATTAACTATTCCACGTCAATGGTGGATAATATTACTGTCAAGAATTAAAAGATCATTTTGTCTCTTCTATGGATGGGATTTTAGAAGAAGTATATAACATATCTGGGACATATTTTATTTAGTATTAGCCATAGTTGTTATTAGCTTGATAATCCATATAATATCCTTAAATAAATGGTTTGATAGTAGGTCTAAGAATGAGGAACTTATAGAAATCATAGAGACTTTACAGACTGGTGATGAAAATTTAGTAAAAAGGATTCCAACCACTGAAAATGGCAGTCATGATTTGACAAATAGAATTCAAAAAAATGGAACATAAAAATGAACTGCTAACAGAAACAATTCATCCCATGTCTAAGATTAATGACAAGCTTGCAGATTTCATCATTCCAATCGGCAGCTTTTGAAAGTGAAAGGGGTCAGCACTGGTAAGACAAGGTTCAAGTGTTAGCACTCCTTGTGATTCGAAGGTGAGCACACTGTACTGGGGACAACCCACATTGTAGGAGAGTTGCAGTTCTAAAGCAGCTGTTGTGGTCTCAGCCTTTGCCTGGTGGCTGAGCACACTGGAGCCCGCCCTCTGGCAGCACAGGCTCTATCCAGAGATCTCCGTCCCAGGACTGATTGGAACACCATGTTCTGAACCCTCCCAGAGGGTGGAAAAGGGGTGAGGATTTTTGGTCTTAAGATACAGGGCTTCTAAGATGAATGCCTGGTATCTTAACCCGGACTTACACTGTTAGGTCCATGGTAGAAAAGATTACATATCAGGGACACTAAGTGTTAAATGGGAGTGGGTAGGGTGGAGATGGAGCTGAGTCTTAATTAACATAATATCTTTGAAAGAAAGAACTCAAGACTCCAAATATACAACTTACAAAAAAGTTACTAGCATGCATGTTTCATGGACTAGGGACTACCTGTGGGTGACATACCTTTGTCATTTCTCACAAAGTAACGTCGAATGAATAAAACAATACATATATTTAAGTTGGAGAATCAAAGAGACTAAGTAAAAACATTAACCATAATATAAAGCACCACAGATTTGGCATACTGTAGGGTCTTTAAAATCTGATTTAGATGAAGGACACGTTCCCTTCTAAAATTTTAAAAAGAAACATGTTTTGTGAATTACATAGGTAGCTCTTAAATGATATTCATGCTTCAAAGAGCCTTGATTTGGAATCTGTTTTCTACCATAGAAGAAAACAGTCCGTTAGCTATGCCCATCAAAATGTGCTAACATTTTGTCCCCATACATGATGGATGAGAGGGTTTGTTTCTACACATGCTTGCTATCCTTAGACATGGCTGATGTTAAAAGAACATTTTAAAAATACTGCTAGTCAAATGATTCTGGTTAAAATGTGTATTTCTTAGAACACTACTGAGGTTGCACATCTTTCCTTTGTTGGCAATTTGTACTTTTGTCTGCTGATTCCCTTCATCTGTTTTAGTTTGGGAGAAAAGCCTCCATATTTTTATGTCTAGCTGGTTATAAAATTTGATTGGCACACACATCAGAGATGGTTCCTTGGAATCTATAATTTTATTCCTATCTTTATGTTTTTCTTTGATTTAAAATAGCCAGTCAACTCTTTTTCTTCCTTATGTTATCAATTGATTACTTGCAGGATATTCATATTTCTAATTTAAAGAAAAGGCAAATTGTAGATCAAGGTGTAATACACAGTCTAATTTGAGTTTCTGTACTATAAACACACACATGAACACAGCTATTTATACAAAGAAAAAAATGTAGGAACAAGCCTATGCATTAGTAGTGGCCATTTCAAGCAGTGAAATTAGCCTGATTGGAAAGGCTTGCAGGAGGCGGATTCCTTACCATCTACTAACTTTTAAAATGATAGAGGAAGGAATAGTCACTTGGTTTGGGTATCTATGGTGGTTAGTGTTACTTCTCAATTAGACTAGTCACCCCAGAAATGGACCTTTAGGCACACCTGTGAAGGATTGTCTAGATTAAGTTAGCCTCCTAGAATGTTTGTGAGGGATTATCTTGGGAAGGTTCATTTTAAGAGTGGTTCAGGCCATTCCCCGGAAAGTGGATCCTAGGCTGCATAAAGGGAGTGACGTAAGTAGCAAGTGTGCATTCACACCTGCTTCCTGACTGTGGCCAGGGTGTGACCAGTTGCTTCAAGCTCTGTCCCACCTGGACCTGACCTTTGAGATAAAATAAATGCTTTGTCTTGTCTGCTGTTTTTGTCCAATTTTTATCTATTAGTGGGAAAAGAAAGGGAGACAGGGATCCTCCGTGGAGAAGGCTGGTCATCATCTCTGCTCTTTTCTACTGAGCATACAGCCTTAGCCCTGTAGCTCTGATTACAGAAGCCTGGATGCAACTCTCGAGTATTTCCATGTGAAATTTGCAAAATGATGACTTGTCCTCCCACACCTCAAATTTGAGATTATTACTCTTTGATGATGACATGAAATAAGTAGCAGGATGGATTGAAGTTATAATGTCTTCATGAAACATTATAAAGAAGTTCTTGTGCCTAGAGATTCCAAGTCTTACTAAAAAGTGAGGCAAGGTAACAGAAGCTAAAAGGAGACTGAATGGTAAAGCAAGAGAGAGCACCAAGTGGCTTTCTAAAATGCATGGGCCAGGCTCTGACACAGCAGATATGTCCAACCCATGATCTGTAGGACACACACAGCTCAGATGGCTGTGAATGCCTCCCAACCCCAAACTACAAACCACTGAAACATTATGAGCTTTCCTTTGGGACTTTACAGTTTTTCAAGTGTAAATTTTGTAGATAGCAAATGTGGCCCCGAGAAGCCAAAAGGTTGGACACTCCTGTGAGTGTCAACATGTGCTGGGATGACTCTCGATTGTCTACCTCTCAATGGATCTTGGTGAACTATTTGGCAGGCGCAAGCAGAACATGGGAAAGGAGAGAGTACTTACTTTGTGCAAACGCCTCTTGCACATCTCCCCCTACCCCAGTGAGAGAGTCCTGGGGGGTGTGCGTTGGTGTGGAGCAGGCAGATGCAGACCGGATGGGCATGGGGATTGGCCTGCTGATGGTGTGGCTGGGGGAGGAGCGAGGAGAGCCCGCCCCCTGGGTCTGCAGAAACAAAGACACATCATTAGTTTTCTGTTACAAGAAAAGCCCATATGCCTTCTCTAAAGTCTTGGGTCCCATGTTAAAAACGGTGACAACAACATTCCAACAGGAGCAAATCTTAGGAAACCAAGGAGATTCCCTTAAACCTAGTTGCAGGTATAGATTAATTTAGGGAACTATCATACATAATCTGAAGTCTGTGTTCATATTGATTGTTCTACAATATGATATCTTTGTTCTTGCCACAAAGCTGATGTTAAACAGATACTTGCAAGGTATGTATATTTCTCTCGGAAGCATGTCCTACATAGAATAAAAGACACAAAGGAGAAATTTTTCAATCTGGACTAGGAGACTTTTCAGTACAGATGTGGTAAGTTTGTTCCCTAATTTCCAACCTGATTTGGTCTCATCTTTAGGCACAACTCAGAACATATCTTACAATATTTCATACTATCTAAAATAATTGCATTGAGATGTACATCGCTTAATCTTTGTTTTACAATAATTCTGACCTTGTGAGATTACTCTGCAAATCAGTAATCTGAAAGGGGAAGAAGGAAAAGGTATCTTGGTGTCTTTTACTCTTTCCTTCACTGATTTTTAACTGATGATTTTACATATGTACATATCATGCAGTGTTCAACCCCAGGGGAATATATCTACTGTTCAAGTGTCCATCATTTCTTCATGATGAAAATATTCCAAATGCTTTCTTTTGGCTTTTTAAAATAACTTTTTTTTTTTTTAAAAAAAATTATAACATGATTTGCTCCTCTTTTTTCTATCTCCAACTCTTTTCATGTGCCCCTCCTCCTTACTCTTGCTCAAATTTATGGCGTATTTTGAAATGATCAGTACACTGTTGTTATTTGTAGTCATCCAACTGTGCAGGAGCATTCCAGAGCATCTTGCTCCTGTCTAATTGCATCTTAGTACCCACCCTTCAACATTTCCCTGTCATTTCCTTTGCCCTGCTCTCCCCAGCTTCTGATAAGTACTGTTCTACTTTCCATTTCTTAGCATTACCTTTTATTTGTCACATATGGGTAAGTGTATGTGGGACTTGTCTTTTTGTACCAGACTTATTTTATCTAACATGTGATCTGCAGTCCTATCCCTGTTATTGCAATGCAGGATTTATGTGGGCTGAATCATATTCCACTACAACACACACATGCACGCATACATGTACGTACATGCACACCAGACACACTGACATACACACAGACATACACATTGACATACACATAGACACATTCAGACATACATAGACATACACACAGACACACATAGGACATACACACAGACACACATAGGACATACAATACATACACATAGATACACATAGACACACAAACACATGAACATACACATATAGACACACACAAGCACACACACAGATACAAGATTTACATAACCACACACACACATACAGATATACATACACACATATAGACATACACACAAGACACACAGATTCACACATACACATACCGATATATACATACACCACACACACACACACACACACACACACACACACACACACACACACGCGCGCGCGTGCGCGCGCACGCACGCACGCACACACACATACACACACACACACAACACACACTGCATTTTCTTTCTTCATTCATGAGCAGATGGTCACTTTTGGTTCTCTGACTATTGTGAACAGAACTGTGATAAGCATGTGAGGGTAGATACCTCTTCTATACATTGACTTCCTATCCTTTGGATAGTTCACTCAGTGGTTTTGCTGAATCATAGGGCAGTTCTAACCTACTATTTTTTTTCTACAATGGCTATACTAACTTACATTCCTAACAACAATCTCTTCTATCCTTGCCCACACTTGTCAGCTTGTGTCCTTTTTTATAATTATCTTTCTTACTAGAAGGAGGTCTATCTCACTGAGGTTTCGATTTGCAAGAGTTGTGGTCTCTAATTTTTGGTCACTGCTTTCTGAGGGCAACACCCTTTTCTTTAGACCTTTGAGAGAGCTGTAGTTTAGCAGAAGAGTGAGATTAGCAGGATTTAAAAGGGAGTAGAAAAGAAAAGATCAGAAAACAGCTAGAATACTTATTTCTGCATTGAGATCTTTGGTATGAGACCTTGCATTTGGAAGCTTTGTGTTTACAACGAGGTCCTTGAAAACAGACTCCTGGTTTCAGTATTAGTAGAAAAGGAAGAAAGTCAAACATGCATGTACAACATGCAGGGAGACCCTGGATTACACACGTAGCCAACCATGCAGTCTTAGCATTCCCCTCCCAGTCTGCTGACTTTGGCCAGTCACAGCGAGAACTCTTTTTACAGAAAAATCCGGAGAATAACTGCCTACCTGTTCACACTCTTAGACCTGCAGCACGAGAGCACTGCTCTGAATATTCTACTTAGACATTTGCTTTGGGTTCGACTGCTTGCCGTTAGACACCCCACCCCATCACACACGCGCGGACACACACACCATTCCTGGAAAATGCCATGCTGTTAGCTCTCCAGGGCTCAGCAGCGTACACAATTGTCAAATCTCTAGAGTGAAGAAAACCCAGAAACAAAACAAGGCAAACCAGAGTGTTGCATAGAACTCGTGTACTGCCCCACGGGCTGCGGATTCCTCTTACATTTGTAACAGTACCTGTTTGCATGGTCTCTCCAGGCTCAGGGAGGAGGACTTGGGTGTTGGTGCGTTTGCCTGCTTTCCTCAGCCTGCTCAAAGAGAGGCTTGGGTTTTCCAGAAAACAGCAGCTCAGCCCCATTTCTTTAAAACCGTCTGCATCTGAGCTAACCTTGCACTTCACTCCCACGAAACAATGAATAGTTTCTCCGTGGAGCTGAGCATTTTCCTGCCCAAAGGCTTTTGTCTGTAGCCTGTGGATCTCTCCCTATGCCCTGTGAAGTGGCTATCACCACTCTAGCCATGCAGTTGTGGATCCCAGGGCTCTGAGAGTGAAAACGGGGAGGTAGGGAACAGTAGCTGAGCCTGTGGCTGAGCCCAGGGACTCCGAGTCCTCTGGGCTGCAGAACTCTATGAACCATGGCTGGTGGAGTGTCCATCAGAGAAATAGATGTTGGTTAGGTGCCTTGGGGGTGTCTAGTGCTACCCACCCCTCCTGTGCACCCTGTCCAAGGTGGAGCTTAGGAAGCACTCCTGGACTGTTCTTATCTGTCTTTGTGACCGAAAGACTCCAATCACAGGAGGGACTGGTGACTGGGGATGGGAAGTCAAGTGGGACCGAGGCTGGTAGAAATAGGTTCCGCTTGGCTGTCCAGCGTGGGTCACCAGTTCAACCATGGGGTCCAGATTTTCTTCGTTAGAAAGTTCACACCAATAAAATGACTCCATTTTTCTTTTTCTTTCTTTCTTTCTTTTTTTGTTTTTGCACTTTATAGGGTATTTTACCACACATTGTTCTATTTTATTTTCCTAACATAGTAAAAAAGGTTAATACTATATTTGAATAGTAGTTTGACATCTATAAAGCACTTTAACCCCAGATCTTTAACTCTCTTACAAGTCAATGAGGTGGGATTATTCTCATCCATTGGGTGAACACACTGAGGCTTAGAGAGGATACCCTGACATATTTGCACCAAGCAAGCAGAGGTAAGCCTGGGCTTTTCCATAGCATCGCAGGGCCTTTTCAGGGTGTGGCCAGCATCACATGCTTCCAGCTATGTTTTGTTAAATTTTGGAAATTTCAGCAGCTGAAGGCCGAAAGGCTTCCACTAGGGCCACAGCATAGTGTCCCAGGCCCCATGGCAGGCCAGGTAACATATTTTCCTTGTTGGTTTGTGGTTTGCTGTCTAGTGTGGCGGAAAGGCGTTTGTGTTGTCAGTCAGGTCTATAAGTATAAGTTCTTATATGTAAGTCTGAAGTCTAAGCAGGTGTAACAGACTCACATTTCGCTGCCGAGTTTGGCTCCAGCAAGATGTGAGACTATGTGATGTAGTTACATCATACTACTCTTCAAAAACCTGAAAAAAAAAATTAAGAATCTGGCAACATGGTTGCATCACGTGCTTTCAGCTATGGGGTATAGCCACACTGCAGTATTGGACAGGCTGTGCAGGGTTGTGCCACCCACTTAAGCTGTCATATGCTGAGTCAGAATCCTTTTGGCTGTGCCATACTCTTTAGCACAGAGTCCTCACGGGGCTCTTACCTCTGGCGACACTTGTAGGGAGGTGTATACTTTGGCTTCATCTCCCCAGGTGAGAGCCTGCCCGCTATAGTGCCTTGGGTTCTCTTAGGCATTTGTGTGTCTGAAACATTGCCAGCCCATATGTTCCTGCTTAGCGCCCATTCATCAAGTAACTTTTCCCTCCCTTTTCTGTTTCCTGTCTCCGAAACTCCCAACAGTAGATCTGTGTTAGAGGAAAATAACTGCCTGTGATTATTAAGAGAAAAATTGCTGACTGAATCTAAATTCTACCGATGTATGAACGGCTAACAGCCACCATGCCCAAACTATATCCAAGTGAATATTTAACTGCTGCAATTTAAAGTAGTCTGATTATGTAAGTAATTTTGGTGGGAGATTCTGTGGTTGACAGAAGTATTTAACTCCATCTTTTCTGCAACTTGCACCTCCCAAGTCATACCCATCATTTAGCCAGAGTTCTTAGAGTAGGATTCTGGTTGCTTGGTAACCACATCCCCATCTCTCTTTGATAGGGCACTGCCCAGTTTGATACTTAGTAACTACTATAGAAAATGGATTCTCTGGTGGTCCTTATGTCCCACTCTTAAAGGGCAATGGGACAGGTCACTGAGTTTCATTTTCACAAGTTCTCTGTAGTCTGCTCATCCAGCATGTCTGTCTGCTATGAACTTTACAGCAAGTTTCAGTAAATTCCCTGAGAAAACTTTTCCCTGGAAATGACTCGATGATTAATGGTGGAAAGACTGAAGAGACAGTGGTCTATGCTGATCAATATATGGATCCAACATTCCCAAGGAGGGTTGATTTATGGATGAAGGAAAACATTTATCACAGTTGGCAATTTAAAATAGCTCTCTTCCTAGAGAATAAATGAAAAATTAATTCCACATCAATTTTTTAAAAGCCTGGTAAGATCCATAAATTTTCCATTTCTTACAGGAAGTATTTTGGTTTCTACTCAGCTCTAGAGATAAAGGATACTTCAAAGAAAGAGGCAAATGTGTAACTGCTGAACAAACTGGCCCCGGCAAAGTGCAGAGTGTTTGTTTCCCGTCCTCTTACTACACCCTGCACAGTCTGCCACCAAGGTCCAGCTGAGGGAACTACCTGGCCCTGTGTCTTACAGCCTGGCCCTGACGAGTTGCATCCCACAGCCTGGGAAAATGAGGAAGAACGAAGTCACCAGCAGTTATCATCATCGTCATCATCATCATCACCAGTTTTTAAACGGCCACTGTGTACAAAATGCAACAGGCAACTGAGGACATGGTTGATTCCGAATGGTCAGGAAAGCGACAGTGTTTGAATCAGGTTTTTATAGAGAAGATACCTGAGCAGGAAAGGTGGCAGTATGGAGAGGAGAGGAGTGTCTAAGTTTTAGAACAGCTTGAGCAAAGCGTGGGACTTGTGAAGAGCATCAAAGACATGGCAGACACACCACTGGTGGTGAAGCTAGTACCAGGTTCCATATGAGGAGCAGAGAAAAATGAGGAGGCTAAGAGGAGGGGCTAGGCTTCGGAGCCTTCAGTGTAGATGGTATCTTGAAAGAGAGGGTCAGTATCTACTGGTTTTGAACAAGGAGATCTTTTTTCCCACTCCTCTAGAATAAATCAACCACAATTTTAAAAATAAGAGCGTGTGTGTGTGTGTGATATAGCCTGATAAAGTACATTGTATATATTTTAATACTAGGTACTAGTTTGTATATGTAGACATCATCTCAAGGTAAACTCTCCTCCCTCACTTTCTAGGGAGGACTTATCAACTCTGTAGGAAGTCCACCAATAGAATGAACCAAGGCTGGAAAGCTGGCTCTCTGTGGTCTGCTCAAGGTCCATATTGCATTTGAATGGGAGCAAGGTATGGAATTTTGAATAATTCCAGACTCTCCTATAAACTAAATAGGAATCAGTCTGATTCCAAGGCTGAAAATGAGGTAGTTTTCAAATTAATCCTTGTTGTAAATCCAAAGAAAGAAAGATAACTGAAAATAAACACAAACCTGATTTTGGTTCTTGGCTATTAATTACTCTACACTAATTAGCTTTTTATGAAATGTGTATGTTAAGGGAATGGACACTCTTCAACTATTCAGTCTACTACCTATTAAAAATGTATTCAGGAATGTGTTGACAGCAAACATGGAAGACATTTGTATATCTAGGGACATATCTGAAGTTAACAGAAGCAAGACAATCTTATTGGGATGTTTCTGTAACTTCTGAAGCATACGTATTATTTTCTGCTGTTAAAAGCAATTACAAGAGATCTAAGCAAATTGAAAGTCATGTTCACAGTTCTTCCACAGACCGAGACTCTGGTTAGTTAACTGCTAGGAAAACAAAACAAAACAAAACAAAAAAAAAAAAAAAACAAGTGAATAGTTATGTGTATTAAAAAATTTGAACAGTTTATATATGACTATCTATGTCTACAAAACTTGCTCTTATATTTGATATTCAGATAGCATTTTCACAGAATATTTTCACACCCGCTGTCTTTTAAAATATCCACAGTAATCTTGTGAGGTACACACCATCAGAATGTTTGAAACGGTCAAGATGTTAGTTTACTTTCCCAGCATCTTTAACAGCATGAGCTAGAGCAGGGGTCTCTGCAATTCAGGCCTATCTGCTGTAATGTTTCTAAGAAAATCACTGAGACTTTATTATGCAAACACAAAGTTAACGTATTTGATTTTAGACCTATACATAATAGTTGGGACTGGAACATACCAGAAACTCTAGGCCATATTGTTACTGCCACTACAGGCAGCTGTTTTCACTCTTAAGATACTTTTTGTGGATACTCGTTTTATAGCTCCTTCAATAAATCTTAAGGGTACACAAGGAAGAAAGAGGGTAGGATAACTTTGGTTCCAGTTTTGTAAAAAACACAATTTATTGCTTGTGATACCATAATCATATTATAATACAGGCACTATGTTTTAAACTTCATGTTCTCTCCTCAAGGGGGATAATTTCATGCATTGCCTACAACAAGAAACAGTATATGTGAGGGAGATAAATACCAGTGTAATAAAACACTACATTGAACCACACACATTTATGATAAAGCAGAGGTTATTAAATCAAGCATGATTTGCTGTATGGGGCATTTGAGTTTGATTTTTTTATAAAGAGAATGTTCCCGAAGGGGAAAGACTAATAAAGCAGAATTTAGAAGTAGATGCCGATCTAAAACCTCTAAATTCTCTCCTTAGATCATGTTATACCACGAGAACTCCATTTGGAAGGTATTTGCTCATTTTCTCCCTGATCCAACTCTGTGGGGCTGGATTTCATGGGTTCTGTCTTTAGTTTTGACTAAAAGTGAGTATACGCCATGGCCACTTGCAATCTATGACTACATTTTTATATTATATTGTTTAATACTTCTCTAGAAAGCTCTCAACGAAGGCTTGTTTTTTAATGCAGTAGGTCTTCCGAGTTTCTAAGAAGCAGTATTTCTAGCCTGATAAAACCCTGGATTACGATTTCCCACTCTGCTGCTTAGGGTTCAGAAGAGCACCCCGTCCCATTATTCTCTCCCCCTTCACCTCACATTCTTCTATTTCCATGTCATGGAGCTGCAGTTTATATGCTGGGGCGTAAGTGACCTTGACCTCAGGTCAGTTTAAGGAGAAGCCTGAGTGGAAAGCAAGCAGGTGGGAGAAAACAGTGTGTTGGCCACATTTGGGTGGCACTATCAATGTTGCAGTCTTCACAGCTGTCAATGACCCTTCAACGTGCAGAGGCTGGGAGGAGCTCCACAGGGAGCGGGTAGAGAGGCAGGATCTACCTAAAGGGTGCTCCCACAGCTTGGCTCTGTACATCCATCAACTTTCTGGTTCCCAGAAGCCTTTCAGAATATACGGAGGGAAAGGGTCCCTGGGGGAAATGAGTTTTAAAGCAAGACAATTGTCCTCTCTGACCAATGGGAGGAGGAAGTTAGACTAGAGCAGCATTTTCTGTTTCCATGTACATGCAGGGAAAAGTCTGTTTGCAAAGAGAGCTATCAAGGACTAGGCATTTGCTCTGCCATGATCTAAGTCAGTGGCCACACCCCAGGGATGCAGGGATAGACAATGATACAGGCTACAAATACAGTGCATCTTTAACACAAGGGAGTCATCCCTGGTGAAAATTTGGCGTCAGCTCAATGAAGTAATTTTTTCATAATATACAAAATAATGCCGCACATTGCCTTTATTGTTTGAGTTACAGATTTGTTTAACATGGTTCTTTTCTTTTCTTATTCTTTTACAGACCTTGGGGACGAAGAGTTAAAAAGTTTCCAGTGTTCTGCAAACATTCTTTGTTACACACAAACACACAGAATGAATAATAGAAAAGAGCATACAGAAGAATGAACAGATCTGTTGAGATTGGACAGGTTGGAGTTCTAATTAACCATGGATAAAATGTTAAGTCTTTAATAATGCGAGTAACTGGGACATATTGTCATACACTTCAGTGCATGCACAGGTATTCAAGCTGCTTTTCTCTTGTTCGAGTTCAGTGTAATTTCTCTCAGTGTCCTGTTCCTTCTGCTTGCTTCTGAACCTGACCACAAGGTCACACATAGGACTTCAGGATATAACATATCAGACAGTCATGATGCTCCTATCTCCGGGAGAAGGGGGGAGGAAACGTGTGGAATGACCTTATGAAACCACGGAGCAGAAAGGGCCTTGGGAAGAGTGGAAGGGAAGGAAGTTACCTACTCTTCATAGAATCTTGTTAACAAGCAGCTTTGGAGGAAGCTAAAGAGATGTGAGGTGGTCAGTGATCTCGCAAGCCTCATCTTACACAACTGAACACATCTTAGAGCATAGGGGTAGAGGGCATGGTCTTGTCATTATGTGACGGAAAAGGGATTTATTACCTGATTCTTACAAAAGAGTTTCTATACCCTTTTGGCGAAATGGAAGCTGAACTGAATGTTCACAGTGTGGAGGTTTGCTCTTGTGGGTTGCTGCTTGTGAGACAACAGAGACCTTTTGTAGCTCTAGTGACTGACCTCCTATTACTAGAAGGTCTGGTTAATAAACCCAGAGAGCATAACATGGATTTGAAACTTAACACCCTTGGGGATCTAAAACTTTCCCAACGAATCACAAGTTGTTCTCCCTTCTAAAAAGAAACAGGTCTTCATTTGTCGCTGACATCAGTGACAGTTACAACAGAATGCTGAATTTTATCATCTCAACTCAAGCACTACATTGAAATGGAAGCAAATTAGTATGATTTTTTTTTCTTTCTTTCCAAACTGATGCACGAACATACATTAGAGGCCAAAGCAATGAGAACGCCAGCAGGACGGCAGCCCTTCACTGTTAGTTAAGACCTGCAGTAGGGGACATAACTTACTCCCTGCTTCAATTCTTCTTCCTACAGAAAGATCGAATCAATAACAATTAGATTACCCAAGGTTCCGACCAGAGCATGTACACAGTGAAGGAAGGCGAGAGACCGGAGGCATCAACGTGGCTTGAACACCTCTCTTGGCCTCTGCCACCCCTGTCACTTTAGTTCCAAGCCTATTTAAGTATTTGAGACAACAGACCCATTCCTTTCCTCCATGTATCTGATCTGTCTGTCTATCTCAGTACTTGTATGTCTTGTACAAAGTCAGTGTTCAGTTGGATGCGGTTGATTCCGTGATGGCTGCTGGCCAGTAGATCCCTATCTCATCACTACAGTGGAAGAAGAATAGGAATCCCAGCAGAGAGATTTGTCAAAATTTCCTGCCATTCAGGGAAGGGCAAGATGGGTTCAGAACTTTTCACCTGATGTATTTTTCAAAGGGAAGCAGAAAAGAGATTTTCTGTTGCATCAAATGAGATAATAGGCTAGAAACAAGTTCCTAATGATCCAGTCTTATCAAAGACAGAACCAATATCAACCAACCAAACCCCCAGCTCTACACTTCATATGTCTAGCACCCTGGAAGTAAATTTTGTTGAGTAATGATAAAGCATTTCCCAAATGGATTAGTAGAGGAGATTTTGATGGCTTAAAAAAAAAAAATGTCAGCTAAGCGATAAAACAGAGCAAAGAAAACAAATGAAAGAAACATTACAGGTGCAGTGTCTGGGACAGAAAGCTTCACAAAAATCGTTTTCAAAAAGCATTTGAACAAAGAAAGAGAAAGGAGGGAGGAAAGGAGTAAGGAAGGAAAGAGAAGGAGAAAGAAAAAAGGGCAACAGCTAAACCACAAATGCTGGTGTTGGGAGGGGTGGGAAACGCATGGACTGAGAGCCAAACACTATGAATTTCCTGTCTCACGTTGAATGCACAGGGCCATTCTGTCTGTGGCTCTCCTGTCAGAAGTCCCAGTTGCTGCCTTTGGCACATGGCCATCCCTGTTTATATTGGGTCTCACTGTTTCCCTCAGGCCAGATGACAATAGAGCACTGACACTGTTATTGGCTCGAGTGTCCATGTGCCCATCTGTTGTTAACTTGGAAAGTAGTTTAGCAATAAACAGCAGACAGAAATGTGATCTTATTAAAGGAGATTGCTACTTCCAATGAAATAGCATCCTACTGCATCCTACGGAACTTCTATCTTTTAGTACTTTTCCCTCAGAAGAGAGAGGAAATATCCCATCTACAGTTTGTACTTGAGACCCATGGAAGTCATGTGACTTGTTGGAGTCCCAGAAATACAACAAAATATTTACTATTATTGTTACCACTTGTTAGTCACTATTTCTTAATTTACAAATTAGATACTAGCCTGTGTGCAAGCTAGTCAGAACTGTTAAAACTGACTTATAAACAGATCCAGTTTTGTAACATTAAAGGACACAAGAGACTGAAAATAAACAAAGCATTTTGCCCTATGGTCCTTAGCCTAGTTCCAGAAAGTGCGTGAAAATGAGAGCTACCACTGGTCGACCGCTGCTGTTTCACATGCTTAAGAAATAATTCCATATTTGATTTTACAACATTTGGGGAGGAAATTGCATACAGTAATTGGAAAAGCCATTGCAAGTTATGTGCAGACGATTTTGAAACACCACAACAGTAGGTCAGAAACACTGATGTGAAACGCCTTACCTTTAATAGCTTCATGAGACCTTCCAACTGGACCATCAGCTCTCTCCGGCTCTCCTGGAGAGCAGACATCCTCTGTTCTAGCTCGTCCTTGCGCTGTCTAAGAAATAAGCCACTGTCATCAGAAAAACATTCAAATTGAGCTAATTCTATTTCCTGGATTTGTGGGTGTGTAGTGGACTGTCTCTAAGGAGATGTGTCTAATCTTTGATGTCGTTACCATGCAGATAACAGTCTTCAAATGGAAAGATGATTGTAATGGGAGGGGCACTGTTATTTGGGAAATCTTTCTTGGAATTTCCACATTTTGTTTGTTACCTGACCAGCTGTGTTCTGAACCATTGGCTTCAGAAATCCAACACAAACCTAACAGTCCTGGAAATGGGCCAGGCCACAGATCTTCAAAATCAAAGCGATGACTACAAATTGACATAACATTTACTATGGCATTTCGGAAATCTGATGTAAAGATGCAGTTTAAAGTCTGTTGTAGCATGTGTGTGACTGGTACCGCTCTGAGATGAAACAGTCATGGCCAGAATGGTTATAACCATTCTGAAGTATTTGGTGAAGTCAGGACAACATGTGCTCACATATTTGTTCTATGAAAATGCTGAATACAGCTTGTGTTGGTTTTACAGAACTTCTATGAAACTGTCAGCAGAGTGGAAACTAGCGTGCACTCCATCATTTGTGCTGACATTAAGAAGTATGGCAAAACCCTCAAAAGGAGGAAAAAAAGTGCAGCAGGAAGTAATGTTAGCTGGGCCTAGGGGTGCAGGCCTGTAATCTCAGCACCTGGGGTGCAGGCCTGTAATCTCAGCACCTGGGGTGCAGGCCTGTAATCTCAGCACCTGGGATGCAGGCCTGTAATCTCAGCTACCTGGGGGACTGAGCCAAGAAGAGCAGAAACTCAAGGCTTTCTTGGTCCAAGGCTAGCCTGAAGAAGGTAGCAAGGCCCTGTCTTAAGATATTTGATTGATATCCATGGGAGGCCCCCCCTCTTCTGGAAAGAAAAGAGAAAGAACAGATGGGGGGTTATCAGATGAGGGTTTGGGAGGATTGGGAGGAGAGAAGGATCTGGTCAGGATATAAAATAATAATGAAGGAGGAGGAGAAACCTTGGTTGTCAGTTCAGTCTCTTTGAACCTCTATGAACCAAGGTTACTTGATTCTCTGGGATTTATTGAGATGTCTTGTTGCTCTTCCAGAGGAGCTGGGTTCAATTGCCAGCACCCACATGGTAGCTCAAAACCACATGCAAATCTAGTTCCAGGGGACCATATACCTTCTTTTGACCTCTGTGGGCACTGTAAGCATGTCATGTAGATTACATACATCCAGGAAAACACCCATATGTGCAAAATAAAATAAAACTAAATAAAATGAACAAATATAAAAACAAAAAATAATTCCTTCAGATTTTTGACATATATGCATGTTTTCCAAACTGATACCACATTCATTATTTCATGATAATTAGTGAGCAAATTAATATATATTTTCCTTGTCCCCACAGGGGTTTTTTGCTTGCATTGAAATAGCAAAGCTTATATTAAAAAATATGACTGGATTCCTTAGCAACATGCATTAATGTATGCATGCATATGTTTCGATGGCATAGACACGGTATTAAGTAGGCTTACAGCAGGGCCTTTGAAATGAAAAACTGACTGTATAATGGATGTCACAGTGAGTTAGGCTGTGACTTATTCAGTGGAAAGATATTTACTTAGAGGGGGACAAGTTAGGAACACAAATTAAACATTTTAATATGCTTTTATATGCAAATTCTTTAAAAGGGCTAATAAACAAACAAATATTTTAACCTTGCTGCAACATGTACAATAACACATATGCACATGTTCTTTCCCTTATGTTTTAAGTGTGTGAGTGTCTGTGCACCATGTGTATGCCTGGTGCTCCAGAGGCCACAGGAGGCCTTCTGTGGAGTAGAGTTACTGATGGTTGTGAGCCATGATGTGGATGTTGGGAACTGAATATGAGTCCTCTAGATGAGCAGCCAGAGATCTTAACTGCTAAGCAATCTCTCCAGGCCCTGTATTCTTTTGACACTTGTGACTATTGCCTTAAACAATTCTCTCTTTAACTTCCTTTTCTGAATGCGGAGAAAAGGAAACAGCATATGTTATAGGTTTAAGATAGCTTATTTTGTTTGCTGCCTCTTTGGCAGAAACTTTCTAATTTTGTATGTTTCATATCATCCGAAAGAATCTCTCAATGACAAGCATCTCGACTGTTTCTCTATGGCCTTATCTACATGCGTTATTCTCTGCAGCATTTGGCACAATATTTTTGATTTACACTTAGTTTTCACCTCATGATTTCTTTATAATTTTTGGCCACAGGAATCCATTGAGGTCAGAGAAAAATTCTACTATTGTAGGCTAAAAAATACTAAGCAACATTTAAATCCTTAGAAAAAAGTGAACTGCTATTAACTTACTATTAGCCAACATAAACCAGTCTTATTGTGCATTCATAATAGCAATCTTAAAAACATGGCATTCAATTCTATGAAAGTCATTTAACAATGTTTCTGTTCAGTCTTCTCTCTAAGTGTTTAGAGCAACAGTTCCCAATGAAGCCCAATTACCAACGCATGTTACAGCCTCCACATTCAAGGTGGTCAAACAACATACTAAATAAAAGACTAAATAGTGATTTTGATTTCCCTCTGTTAAGGGGAATGAATTTCTAAATAAATGCCTTTTATTCTGACATTCTGTGAGATTATTTTTAATTTAGTGTCTATATGTTAGAATCTACTTTCTTTTAAGATATATTTAGGACAATAATGTTTTAATATGAAATATATAAGAGATATATCCACAAGAACTTTCCGAATTTGAGGATTGGGCTGTGGTTATAAAAGGAAATGTGTTTCTTAGGAAGCTCATGCATATATACTTGGTGGTCTATAGTCATGATATCTGCCACATTTATTAACTTTATTGAGTCTCAATTTCCATTTTTATATAAGGAGTGTAAGCGAGCCTTTCTTTCCAGGTTTATTATTGCATTGTAAAGCACATATGGAGGGTTAGCATCCAGCAAGTGTCAAATGGTTAGCACACAGGAAGTCCTGGTTATAATCCTATCCGGTCTGCTAATGTGGCTTTTGCTTTCCCTGTGGCTTAAGGGAAAAAGGAAACCATATCATTTCGAAAGGCCATAGTGAGTTTAAGATTAAAAATAAAACTGAGTATTTGTTAAAGCAAGTCCCTGATTGATGGAATAGGAAAGACACAGTGAGGACTAGCGTGGATGCTGTTCATTCCTGTGAACTATGGCCAAAGTAGCTTTGTAAGAGGCGGCTGTCTGAGTGGAGCCAGGATGTATCCCTGGTGCACAAAAGGACTTTGCGAACACATCCCCCATGGAGGGATAACTGCCTTAATCTAGAGACAGGAGAGAAGCCCTAGTCCCTACTTCACATGACCTGTCAGACCTACATGACCCCAACTGGATGGCATTCCCCTACATATGGTATTGTGGTGGGGGGGATGGGAGGGGAGGGTGGTTAGAGTGCATGTGAGAGGGCAGAGAGGATAAAAGAGAGGGAGGGAGGGAGGAAAGGAGGGAGGGAAGAAGGGATGGAAGGAGGAAGGGAGGGAGGGAGGGAGGAAGGGATGTAAAGAGGAAGGGAGGGAGGGAGGGAGGGAGAGGGAACTGGGATCCACATGTAAAATAATAAATTAAATTAAAAATAAATGCTTTGACTCCAAAATTTAAGTTCAAGGACAAGTTACTGGGGAAAAGGATTTCTATTTCTATTTTTGTTTCCACAGAAAATGAAAAGATGTGGATTCCTTCCAGACTAATGTGGTTTGATCAAGCCAGACCACCTGAAACAGAGTACCAGGTGATTCAAAACAGCTGGACAAAGCAGCCTTACAGACTACAGCCAGGATTTCTGAATCTTCTTCGAATCCCCCATGACAGCGCCCCTTACCAGCAGGAAGTAGTTTGGAAAGAAAAGAGGCCGCTGTCTTAGAGCCTCTTGAAAGTCTGAAATAACAAAAGATGAAAGCACAGAATCCCCAGGCTATTATTTATTTATTTAAATCTAGGTGTCAGGATATCTGTGCAATCTCCAAATTCTGGAAATGCTTGGTACAGAGTAAGAAGAGGTAACTGACATATGTGGCAGGTAGCACAGATATCTAGAGAAATAGCCTTCTAGAGAGGATAATTCTTCCTTCAGGGTAGAGAAATATATAGAATATAGAGGCAGACTATCAGCTGGTTGGGTACCACCTGACAGGAAGTGCCACAGGCAAAGAAGTTACTGGTGATTCTAGATTCCTTAGGAAATAAGGCTTTGTGCTCAGTTGAGCTCATGGGGCGCCCACCTTCGGGGCGCAGGAGGGTGGTTAGAACTGTGTCTGTTCCATGATGGCTCCATGGGGATGGGGAAATAATCAACTGAAAAACATCTCAGTGACCGGGGCTCATCTGCTATCTTTCTAGTCTGTCTTCCACATGGAACAGAAAACTTTGAGAAGCAAAAGCTGTACAGGAGAACCATCAAAATTTCTTATGAACATTTCTCCCCCAAATCTCTGCTTTAGAGAACAGGGTGACTAGTAGAAGAGGTAGAGGTGGTATTTCAGGCAGACCCAGATGCTACCCTGACCCTGGCAGACCAATCACCATTCCATTTCCCCAAATGACTGTCGAGCAGTCATTTGTTTTTGAAGTATGTTTGATGAAGATGATAAGAAACACCATCACCTTTCTCTTCTACTCATTTTCATTTCTTCTAGGAAATAGTGTAGTAGAGAGTGTAAGAATTCGTAATGGTCAGAATATAATGGAGTCAGAATAGAAACCATATAGGAATCTGGAAGAATTTCTGTTTCCATTAAGTCATTATGCTGTTAATAATTAAATTGTTAATTGAGTAATTAACTATTGTTTAAATTATTTAGTTATTCAAAAGTATAAGGCAATCCCTCTACATGAAGCAGCATGTGTAAATTTTGCCAATTTCCTTTCAAGTGAGGCCTTGAAAGGTCCACTCTAGTCATAGGGGTGGGAGAGGCAGAGCCTTGAGCCTGGCCAAGGTGGGCTACAGGACTCCTCTGGTGTTCATGTGTCTGAAGAGCTGAGCTTGGATGGAACCATCGATGGTGGCATGCAACAGGGACTTTATATAAAGAGCAGGAGGAACCTATTGAATTTAGCTTCTGTTTGGAGGAAGAAAAGAGACTTCATTTTGATGAGTTCGTGTGAAGAGGCACCTACACTCACTATTGAAGCTATAGCTCACAGGGTTATAGGTGCACATGGAGTAAACTCAGCATATAAACTGGAAGGTAAGACCATGTAATTCTCCATAGTTAAAGCTTCCTTCGGAAAGACCAATATGGTCTTCCTTGAGGGAATTCACTTCTCTGTTATTTGCTCCATAAATACACGTGGGTACTTGTCATAACCAAGACATGGCGCCAAGTCAGTTTCATGAGAGGGGCCTGCAATAACTCCTACATTTTGCAGCAAAGAATTAGTGGGAGCAACTGTAGCCCTCAGCCAAGGCAGAATCCTTTAGCTTTCTGTCTGAGAAGGCAGTGACACCCAAGAGAGTAGCCATGATCCTCCACAGTCCCTTCCAACTCAAGTATCTTAAGGGGACACAATAGATGAGATTAGGCTTTCCCATCCATAGGGCAACACAGAGGCATGACATCTATTTTAAAAGACCCCAGCCCTCCCATGTGCTGGATAAGAGTTCTACCAGTGAGATAATTATGACATAGGCTAGTCTTGAACTCATGGCCTTCCTGTCTCAGCATCAATGTTAACTCAGATTCCAGACACATACCACAAAGCAATGGCTCCTTTGAAGACAAGATTTAGAGAAAAACAGACTCTGTTTTGTGAGATATGACTCTGTTTTGTGATATATATATATATATATACACACACACACACACACACACACACACTATATATATATATATACACACACACACACTATATATATATATATATATATATATATATATATATATATATCCTTCAATTTAGAAATCTGTGATATTTATTTAACTGCTTATGTGTTTGGTTTTAATGTACAAATGACTAAAAACAGCCAAGTGAAACATTTTCCCCCCCAGTGAAGGTATTTTGCTTTTGATCTAAGGAACACATTGTCCTTTTCTCGGTGTATAATCTCTCAAAATTGTTCAAATCTTAGTGATCAAGTGTGTTTTATTGAAAAGAAAGAGCTGCAGCTATGTTGGGTCAGGGTTGTGTGCTGGCCAGCTGTTGCCAGATGGTGCTTAAGAGCTCACACATTAGGACTGGGGCCACGGCTCGGCACCTAAAGCACTTGTCACACAAGCAGGAGAGCCAGATGTCATACTCTCAGCTCCTACATGAATGTCATCAGGTGGGCGTGGTGCCTCACTGGTAATCTCAGTACTCTTCAGACAGAGGCAGGGGATCCTGAGAGCAAGCTGGCTGGGCACAGTGTCCCCAGTGGTGAGCTATGGGAAGCTGAAGGATTCCCTTGGGATCCAGTTCCTTGTTAGGGTGAGCAGGTTTGGGCGCTTTAGGGAGAATAGAATAGAATAGAATAGAGGAGTGTCCTGAAAGGCTTGATTCCAGGGGCTAGTGCCCCAGTCTTAGAATACCTCCTCTGCGACTGGAAGCGTTTCCAAATGGGAAAAAAAAATGTGCCGAAGTTGAGCAATTAAGACAGTAAAATCTCTTGCATGAAATTTTGAAACTAAACAAAACAAAAAAAGATTCCCGACAACTAACCTCAAACCCCCACAGGTGCACCCATACAAATGTGTACATGTATGCATGCATACACATCATCCCACAAGACACAGGAAAAAAAGCCAGATCTCTAACACTGTGTTCCCTGGGGAAATCTGGGTCCTTCTCTTACCTGAGGAGCCGCAGTTCTGCCAGCAAGGTTGGGTTCTGCTGAGCCTTCTCTGGTGTGGGTTGAGAAGCTTGCTCATGTTCTAGCCGAAGTCTCTGGATCTCTTGTAAGATTTCTCTTGGGAGAGAGGAGGAAGTGAACTGGTGTCAGTACTTCCCTGGAGGTGGACATGTGAACATGCCAGGCCAGCAGAACAGAGAGGAGTAGGATTGTCCTGTGGTTAAGAACAGGGCTGGCCTTCCTTGGTCAGGGGATGTCCTGCTCTGGTGTAGTTTGCCTAGGTGAGGGGAAGGCTCACCCTGCCTTTGGCACACCCAAACAATTCAGGTTGTGCAGTGTGCCTCTGAGTGTTATCTCTAGTACCTGACCTCTCGCTGGTAAGTAATGCGGTGCTGTGGTAACATGTCCTACATTGGTGAACGCAATGTTTGGTATCTCCTACATTGGATAAATAGCACATGAGAGGTACTTGAGAGAGAAGAAAGTATAAATGCTTCCCATTTGACAAAAATACATATCCATTTAACCATGAAAAGATTTTCTTGCTGAAATTATCAGAGAAATCCCAAAGTCATATATTCAAAATTTTTTTTTTAACTTTCCATATTTAGTTTTACCAATGAATCACAAAGAAGGCAGCCTTACAAGGAAAGGCTTTTAAAAGGATTCATTGTAATTGATCCTATGACATAGAGGGCTATTGGCGGAACCTCTGTCAGGCAATGAGATATGTCAGTTTATTATTGATGTAGGACGCCCTGCACTTGGGTGAGCATTAGGTCACCATCAGTGACACGCAACTGTGCACAGCAAATTATATGTAAGTAGATTTGAAGCCATTAAGTAGGATTATTAGTTACATACTCTTGGGGGACATAGACATGTCAGGTTTGTACTTAACAAAACACAGTGAGACAGCACAAAACATCTAGAAGTTAGAATAGACCTGCTGAGCAAGCTAGGGCTGGGGTGGCACTCCATGTTTCAAGATTTCAAATCGACACACAATTGTCCATTGTTATGGTAACATAATAACACGATACATGCACAGAAATAATGATTAAATTAGGCTAGCGAGCATCTTTGTTTCTTTCCTCTTGGGAGTATCACCTCTAAGTCAGGTGTTGGGTACCAACACATAGACAGTATAGGTCAAGCTGGAGTGTTCTGTACCACAGCAGGGCAGGTGTAGTTTTACACCATTATTTGAGAATCAGGAGTCCAGTTCACCCTTCCTGGGAATGGTGAGAAGTTTGGATCCTAACCCTTTTTTGTTTTCTCCCTGATATCCGTGGTAGAAATATCTCTTTAAAGGAATATTTCATGGAAACATATCTCCCTTATAAAAAAGAAGAGAGAGCCACCATGGTTACAGAAAGGGCAGGTCCACGTGCTGTTAGCCTTTTTCTGCCACTCACTCTTCAGGGCTCTTTGGGTGCCAGGGATCTAAAAATGAGTGAATTTCTATAGTGCAAGAGTGGGACGTAGATGGGGCTTAAAAGGGGTTAAGTCAGGATGGATGAGCCCTCAGGGATGGGGCAGGGAATTCTAGGAATAATGCATGCCCAAGGGCAGGATGGAGCTCCTCTCCCCTCCCCTCTCTTCCCCTTCCTTTTCCCCCACTCCCGTCCCTTCCCTTCCCCTCCCCTCCCCTCCCCTCCCCTCCCCTCTCCTCTTCTCTTTCTCTCCCTTCCCCTCACCCACCCCTCTCTATTTTTCTCTCAGGTATACAAGCATGTGCTTAAGGGGATGCACCATACAAAACCACCTAGAAACAAGCAATAAAATGGTGTCAGGCACAGCCAGGGCTGTTAAAACATTTATAGCACATCCTGCTGGTTGTAGAACCAGGACAAGACCCAGACGAAGGCAGATTAGTGGGAAAGCAGAGCATAGGTCACAAACTGAAGTGCTCTGGAGAGGTGAAAAGGCGGGTGAGCGGAGCAGCCTGGATGAAATGTTTCTGGTTTAGTGGGCAGGCAGATTGTTTCCCCCTGTCTGTCTGCAAAGGGCATAGGAGAAGCTTGAAGTGCTTGGATCTCAGGCCAGGTTTGACCCGTCCTCCTGATGCTGCATAGGCGCCTTTCTTGACCCTGGCATTCTTTTCCTCATTCTCAGCTCCAACCACCTCTTTGTACCAGACAAATAAGAGGAAGAAGCAAGAGAGTAGAAGAAAAAGGTCCATGAGAGAGCCTAGATATGTTCAATTTTTTACTCGACAATCTGGAGTTCGTAATGAGAGCAGAACTCCTCAGTTGGAATTCCTAAAATCAATTCCACTAATAGTTATTCTTTTGTCTAATCATCTTCTGCACCGGTTATTCTAATGCTATTTCTGGCATCATCTAGTCACCATTGGGCGTCTTAGTTCTCCCCAGCATCTATGCAACCCTGTGCAAATGCAGTCAGTTACTCCATCAGAAACATGTAGACATCTTATCAATATCTGACTGCCACTCTTCATCACCACAGCATAAATTTCATTTTCTGGGACTTGTGGACATCTACGATATTGATCCTTCTATTTTTACCCTTCATCTGAATCCTTTGGATTTTCTCTGGCAAATATTTCTCAATTATTTGTATTTTTACCTGCAATTCTTTTGTCTTTCATGGTCATATTTCACTATCTTGACATGTCCAACCAACACCTCACCTCTATACAACATTTACCCGCCTTAACCTGGACCATGGTGATAATGTAAAGTAGGTCCCAGGGGGGAAAAGAGGGAGACAGGATGTACTAATTTTTAATGTTAATTTGTGTGACAGATGAAAAGAGCATTGGTGTCCACCTTAAAGGGTTGCTGTGGAATGGGAGAGGAGCAGGCACGTGTCCTATAAACACACATGTCCACAATGCTCTGTTCTGAACATCTCAAAGCAAATGTTGGCTTTCTTGCTTCTGTCACTTGGAAACTTGGTTGGATGTTACTAATCTAACTTTGGATCTCTCTTTCAGATGGGTGGATCCTTCCTGGTTACCCCCACAGTATACCCTAGAAGAGGGACTAATGGTTTGAGAAGGGATACGCGTGTGGTGACATCTGTTGGGAACTCTGAATGAATGAAAGGATGTGTAGTAAAATTCTCCCCTGAAGAGTGGCTTCAACTTTGCCCATTGTTCAGTTAGCCACAGGCTTTCCAGTCCTTCCTTGTCATCTTCTTATGAGTGGCTCACTCACTGATATGTTCACATTTATTAATTCCAGACTAGCTCATTTGGAATAACCTTTCACAGCACATATTATAAGTTTACTTTGTTACTGAACATAAACCCCTTTGAGTTCCAATTTTAATATTTGCTCAGGTTTTTATAAAGGAACTTCATAAAATTTTAATCAAGAACTTAAAAATGGAGTAATTTTCCTTTCTTTCTACTCACTTTCCGATGCCCAAATTGATGTAAAGATTCAAGACAACACCAAACACAGCCCCTGTCTCCCATTCTCATCCCTGCCAGCACCCATGCACCCAATGCAGACCTGTGGGTCCACTTGGCTTTTCTGCATGGTTGGCTTCAAACCCTCAGCTGACTGGCTTGCTCACATGTTCTCTCTATGGCTTCTGCTCCCACTCAAACCCAGACTGCTTTCCATTCATCTACTATTCTCCTCTATCCTCACTGCATGGATTTTAGGGGTCTCTGCTTATTTTAAATACATCCACTTATCAGTGCTTTCTATGATTCCACAGTTATTGTCACACACCATCTGTAAAACAAGGGTTACATAAACCAGGTAGCAATATATGAACTGGTAACTATCCTGAGGACATTCTGACGTCTGAAGCTATTTTTTTTTTTCATTTGTCTAATTCTTCACATTGCCTCTTCTTTCTCCCTCCTTGACTCTTGCTTCCTATCACACTGTAAATTAGAGGGATCCTGTAACAAATATCTGCTTGGTGGGTGAGGTCAGTAGAGAGGTGTAGTTTCAAAGATCATGAAGTCATGATAGTATAGTACCTCCACTCTGACTTGGGCTTTCCTGATGATGATAGCCAGGTCCTGGGACAATTCAGTCAAAAGAGTATTTCTTGCAAGACACATGAAATTGTGCTGTCTCTTAATTATTATTTGTAGCATCTTAAAGGATCTTTTGATCATTTATCCAAACATGTTAGGCTAAATTCTATAGACATGAAATAATGATTAATTTACCCTTTACCACTACCACATCAAATATGATATTAGCATTAGGAATGGGATGAAGTATTAAGACATTTTATATTGTACCAAGAAATCTAGAATGGGCTCTTCTCTTCAGAGATGTAGCAGACAAAGGATATGCAGGCCTGGAATTCCAAGTAAGCTAAGACCATGTGTAAATACTTAATAGAAAATGTGTTAATAATTAAGTCAGAGCTAGCCAATAAGGAACCATAGCTAACGGCCAACAGCTTTATAATTAATGTAGTGTCTGAGTGTTCATTTGGGGCTGAAGCAGTGGCAGTGTCTGCTGGGCCAGAAAAACTCACATTACAAAATGGCGTCCACAAGGTGTGGCATGAATTTCCAGATAGAATAACAAAGGGATTTTAGAAACAAAAGAAGAGAGACAAGCTTGGCTTCTTGGTAGCAGCCATTTTCTTGGTGGTCTCTGTTTTGTTCGAGACAACGGCACGGTTCTTTGAAAGAGGCCCTGCTAACAATTGAATGGTGTGTAAGAGCAGCTGGCAGTGACCACATCTCCAAGCCCGCAACATGCTGTTTGATGGCAGCACAGACCAAGGTAGTGAGCACAGGTGTCAGTGCTGGCGGGAAATGTACCCCCTGCCATCTTGGAAAGACAGTGGCTAAACAGTGGCGGCTTTAATTTCTGCAATGTTGTTTAGCAGATAAAAACAACAAACAAACAAACAAAAAACAAAACAAAACAAAACAAAAAACAACAAAACTTGTGGCTAGAAAACTATAAAGATTTATAGTAAAGACAGATTCAGAGGGGGAAAAGTAAAACCTCTGAAGGTTTACAGTGTGTTTAAAAATATACATAGACTTGTGAGAGAAAAAGAAACAGGATAAAGTGGGTTTTTTGTTGTTGTTTTTTTTTTTTTTTTTTTTTTTTTTTTTTTAAAGAAGAACTAGAGTAGCAGAAGCAAGCAGATCTCTATGATTTCAAGGCCAGCCTGGTGTATAGAGTGAGTTCTAGGGCAGCTAAAGTTACACAGAGAAACCCTGTCTTAAAAAATGAAGAAAATAAAGATAAAGAAATAGAGTAGTAAATTAAGACACATAAAGGTGAAAACTACACAAGGAATCTGGATATTGTATGCTATTGTGTTGTCTTTGAGTTGCTCAATTGCTAAGGAAGGAACAACAACTGCTAAAATATACTTGATTATTAATGCTTCTGAATTAACCCAACTTATATATTTTAAAAATGCTTTGATTACAAAATTTAAGTATAAGGATATGTTACTTTGGAAAAGAGATTTTATTTGTTTCCACAGAAAATGAAAAGCTGTGGATTCCTTCCAGACTAATATGGTTTGATGAAGCCAGACCCCCTGAAGCAATGGCCAGATGATCCAACATCCAAAACAGCTGGGACAAGGCAGCTTTGCAGACCACTATAGCCAGGATTTCTGGGGTTTCTTAGGATCCCCAAGACAGTGCCCCTTACCAGCAGGAAGTAGTTTGGAGAGAATGATGGTCACATTTTCAAATATTGTTTATAGTTTATAAATGTTTGTTTTTACTTAAATAGGGTTGGTTATAAATGGTTAATGAATGCAAACAATCTCTTTTTAAAGGTAAAAGGGGGATTATGGTATAGAAATGAATACTTTTTTTTGGTATGGATTTTCATTTATTGATACAAATTTAAGGTCAGTTTTGTTATATGTATATTTCTCCTCTTGCTTAGGTATTGTGTTTATACAGGTCTTTAAAAACTGTAATGCGTAATTATATACAGATTGTATATAGTCACTTATAATAGTCAAAACTTATAGTTAGGTTTTCTAGCTATACAGAGATGTATTTGAGATGGATAGATATTCTTCAAACATTTCAAAGAACTACAGAATATGACATTTAAAATGGTTTAGGGTTTTTCTTGACAGTGAGACACAACTGCTCCTGGCAACACCAATTACATCTGAGAGGAAGATGGACATAGAAGAAACTCATTATGGAGTTTGCTTTCAATATGACAAGACTAGCCATTTGGGCAAGGAATTGTTCTTGTTTGGACTGTTTGGATGTATGCTATATAAACTGGACATGCAGGACCCACAAAAAAGTGACTGATGAACTTGCAAAACAAGATGGACAGTTCTGAAGGGGTACTGCTTCATGTAAGAGTCTGACAGACAATCTGCAGGACCCAGTAAAATGACTGACAAACTGTCAAAACAGGTGGACAGTTTAAAACTTCCTGCTTTACTGAGAAATCTGCCAGATACACTGTGGCCTATGGGCTGAAGATGGATGCCCCCAACATTACAGAAGAACTTCCAGTGACTTTCCAGGCAGTGACATGTCTCTGTCAATTCTAGAGTTTATATATTTTCTTCTGTGGTCTTTGATGGAATTGAAGACAGATAGTTATGGTTATAGTTAGGCTAAAAGATAAGTTACATGTAAGACTTTAGAATCACAAAGATATGATAGATGATAGAAGATTTTCTTTAATTCTTGATAACATGAGTGGACTAAATATTGTAATTATAGTTCTTGTTTAATAACTGTTTTGTTATATATAATTTTACTATGTTAAAGCCCTTCTTTTTATTTAGACAGAAAAGAGGAGATGATGGGGAATGTTCTTCTGTGTATATGTTTATCTTATTGGTTGATGAATAAAACCCTGGTTGGCTAGGCAGGAAGTGATGAAGCTGGGCAGAATCAGAATATAAGCAGGGCCAAACAGGAAATTGCTCTCTCTTCTCTGCAGGGATGTAGCAGGCAAAGGAGATGCAGGCCCGGCATTCCCGGTAAGCCAAAACAATGTGGAAATACTTAGATTAATAGAAAATATGTTAATAATTAAGTCAGAGCTAGTCAATAAGAACACTTAGCCAATGGCCAACAGCTTTATAATAAAACAGTCTAAAATGGACAAATTGTTCCCATAATGAGCTTGCTTAGAACTGGGTATGATATTTGTCTTGCCTATTTGTTACTTTCTCCTTCAAACACTATTCAGCACCTATGATTTTAGGTGCTGAGCCCATGCAGGTGTTTGGCATGATCTCTGTTCCTGGAGAACTTCCATTTCATCCATTTCATCATAAAATAAGTAGAGGCATAAATAGGATTATTTCAGGCATGTAGGACATACACACACACACACACACACACACACACACACACACACACACACACACACACACACACACACGTGGTCTTAGGGGGTGATGCCCCTAATAGTGGTGAGGGGCTATTATGCAGAACTTCATAGAAAAGCTCCCTAGGCTGAAGGGAGTACTATTAGGAAGTAAAGGAAGCCACAGGAAGCTGGAGTGTGATGTGTGATGGTCAAGGACACAGTCACTGAAAAGTCATGAAGGATTCTAGGGAGCTAGCACCTTGCAGGTCATGATGACAGGAGAGAGTTTTAATCAAAATGTCACAGAAAATCAATAGGGTTTTGTCTTGGGAAAAGTATGATATGATTTATGTTTCAAAACTGACAGGTTGGTTGGTAGCTGGTGGTGGAGATGAAGTAGCTTTGGGGCAGATGCTGCAGAGACAGAATTAGTGGGCCTAATCTGTGTTGAGTGGGGATGAGACCTGTTGATGTAGAGATATTTGGATTGAACACTGAGATGATGGTGATGCTGCCCCGAGTGTTTCCTTAGCCTTATAGGAAGACTTCCTGGCAAGATTCCTACTTATCCCTGAGCAACAGAGACACATTCCACTGTGTAACCAAGAAGATCATCCTGAACTGCAGCTTGTTAACAAAACTAGAAAAAGGGAAATGAGAGCTTTCCAGAGCTGTCCAACATTAATCATGTTGATGGTTCTGAAATATACACCCTTCCCCATACAAACATACCCCCCCAGGAACACCCCTACATAACACACACACACACACACACACACACACACACACACACACACAGGCACACACACAAACAAACATACACCCCCAGGCATACCCCACATACATATACACACATATGCACACAACACACACACATACACAGGCATACACACACACACATACAGGCATATCTATCCACATACACATGCATGTACACATACACACACACACACACACACACACACACACCCCTTTCACAGACAGGCACACCCACACACATACATGTACACATATGCACACAAACACAGACAAACATACACACAAGCACCCACTTGAGGCACACACAGACACAAGCATACACATGCACACAAATGTACACACCCACAAGTATATACACAGTATATACACACTCATGCACATACACACACAAACACACACACACACACACACACACACCATTTTTACTATGAGCTCCAGTAGCCATCTTCACAGACTTGCAGTATCCTCCCTTAAACAGGAACGTAAGGAAATTGCAAAATCTGAAGGTACATGTCCCAAGCCTTACCTGTTCTTGTTTTCTAGCTCTGCAATCAGCTGCCTTTGTTGTTTGTTTGCATCGATGGTGAAGGAGATGTCAGGAGCACTCCTCTGCTGAGTTGGCTGCTGTAAAACACGGAGTTGACACTATTAGGAATGTGTATTTACATGTGAGATGGGAGTCATGGGATATGCAGACAAGGAAGAAGAAACTTTTCCATGGGGTGGGATAGGGGACAAGGACAGAAAATTAATTTGCTATTCATTCTAAGAGTAAACTGTTCTGCAGATATCCAATGTATCTACACAATGGAAAACAAAAACCTTTCTTCAGGTTCTCAGATGTGGGAACAAGACTGGGAAAAGGGGAGGCATGTGGGGCATTTGGACAGATTACACTACCGTAGAGGTTTTTACCTTAGTCTGTCATATTTTAAAAAAACTGAGAATGCATTAACAAGACATCATATTTATACCAACAAAGACAAGAACAACAAAATACCAATTTTCTTGCTAATTAACACTGGGCATAATGATAACAATGGACCTGGGGCGTTTGAAATTCAAAGAAGCTGGAGGTCAACAAGGGCGTCCTGTCATTCTACTTACGGATGAGGAGGACTCTGCTGCCAGGCGTGCGGCATACCTGGCAATCAGCCTGTGTTCTTCATCAAGTCGGTTAGAACTCTCGAGCATACTACAGAGAACAAAGGAAAGAGGAGACTGTTGGGTCACTGAGAGAGACTGATGTATCCCCATCACCACTAGCGGCTTCAGCCATTTCAATGCCAAATATTTTCAAGTTCTCAAATATCTCTTAGAGTAATGATCTTCAACTTGGGTTCATGACGTTGTGATCCAATATGTGCTTGGGAAGGTCAATAACAGGTCCTTTGCCCAGTCAGTTCAGTTATCTTATTAAGAGGCTCCAATGAGAAGTGACGTGACTTTTCTGATGTTCCAGATACAAGAATATTTTCTATTTAATAAATTTTATTGCTTTTAATAGTTTTTTATTTCATTTACAAATAACTTACTTCAAAAAGTGACAACACTAGAAATCTGGAAGCTTGCAGGAAGGCAAAGACCTAGCTGTGTTGTTGATTCAATGATTCCTGCCTGCTGGCACACACATCCTTATGTAATCTCCCCCTTTCCTGTGGTCTGTTACTTACTGACTTCCATTTAATGAACAGAACATGGCAGAGGAACGGAATATCACTTCTATCATGATTTTAAAAGACTGTGACTTCCATCTTGGGTGCCCTATTTCTTGAGGTCTCTTGTGATACTTGTCCTGAGGGGCTCTGGATCCCATGTTGTAAATCTGCCAGTATGATGAGGACCCAAACTAACCAGGAACTATGTGAATGAATTCCTACCAGCTGAGGCTGCTCTTGATCCCAGAGCAAGAGAGGAGAGTTGGACCATCTCCTCACAAATATCCTTGATTCAAGAGCATCTTGCTAAGCCAAGTCCAGATTCCTTCATGAAACTGTGAGATGATGTTTGTTGATTTAATTAGCTAATCTCTAGGGTATTATGCTACACTGCAAGAGATGGCTTACATAGTTGTTAACTATAATGCTATTTCTAAGGTAACCCAGGCTTTCTATTTGTTTTTTTAGTAGCTCCTATCATTTCACAGAAGTCACACTAGAATAAGACTGTCTGAATCCCTGAAATCCAGTACAAGTATACGTAGTATGGGCCTCTCATATTTGAGAAAACTTCATCTTCTGAAACCCTTGAGACTACATTTGGGTGACGCTGAAGAAAGTTCAATGAGACATTCCAATGACACTAATCTTGTTAATAGATAGCTCTTGGTTTGCTTTTCTCCATAATCATAATGTGGATGAGGGCAGAATTAAGTTCAGAAACTGCTTCTCATCCCCAAGCATATTTATATCATTCTCCACCGGCCCTTGCACTTTTGTTTTTAAAATGAAAACAATAAGGGCCAGAGAGATTTGACACCCTCTTCTGGCCTCTGGAAACAGGCACTCATGTAGTGCACAGACATACATGAATGCTAAACACTCATATAGATAAATAAATAAAAATTAAATGATAATGAAACTTGTGATTGTTCATGGAAACACACCCTCCTGTGCCAGTATCATTAAGAGTTTTCCATTGTGAAGACTCACAGCCATAAAGGAATAGACAGTTGACCTACATGTACATTTGCATATAAAAGTAGCATGCAACATGGTCTCTTAAATGTTGTTTTCAAGCGAGAAGATGAGTGTTTACTAAGGTTGGCCCTGTTTAGTCGAATCTGTCACTGTGAAAGTTTTGCCTAGGCATCTGGACTATCTTCTATGCCACATAATCTCTGTTCTTATCTATATCCTTTACACCTGTCAACACTACCAGTTTTATTCTTGAACAGTTCCATTCTAGACTTAGCCCTTTTCTGTGGACTACAATAAATAACCATTCTTGAATTCCTCAGTTTACCAACCTGGCTCCATCCACAGAGAGGGTATTCTTTCTGACTGTCCATCCGAGGTAATACATGCAATAAGTGTCCAGTCAGAACACTGTCTGGAGCACATCATATGTTCAAAAATATTAGCTACCACTTTGCTTTGACTCTTGGTAACTTTATGAATTGTATTAACAATTCTTGTCTGTTAAGAAATCTCAGCCACTATGTGAACCATCCAGAGCTGGGAGTCTCAAACTTTAAAGTCTAAACACGCCACTCAGAGACATGAAGCTGGTTGAGGTTTGGGGGTGTAGCCTGAGGGTCTGCATCTCTGATGCTTCAGAAGATGGTACTCCTACTTTCAAAAGATAGAAGACCTAACGATTTAAACCATACATCTGCATACCAGAAATAAGGACCATATCTAAACCATATAAAATATACCATGTTTTGAGGGTTTGACTGATATTCACATATCAGTCAATTCAATATTTTATAGACATTTTTCTGAGACAAGAGAATTCTAGAATGCAGAATATATATGATGTATAATATCAATCCCAAAGTCGACTGAACATAAATTTTAATAGAATAATCCAGAATTATTGATGGAAGCTGATGCTTGAAAGTAGATGTGTATCTTGATAAAGTAGTGTGTGCATTGTGTAGACCTTAAGATGGCCGTCTTTCTCATTATAACTTAAAGAGAAAGGGAAAGTTACACTGTCTTTGCTTTAGACAAATACCTAGCATGCTAAGAGACCATTTAGTTTGATTTTAGCATGCCTATCATTTCCAGCTGGTGTGTTAGAGAATAACTACGTAATTCATAGTGTGTGCAGGCTAAAGTACCCAGTGTTGTAAGCTCAAAGCTGAGACCATCCATCTCAGTGCTTGAAAGTGACTTTGTCACGAACACTTGTGAGTGCTTTGATAAATATGTAATAAAAAAAACCTTGATAAAAAAACTTCCTGGTAAAAGTATTTTTTATTATGAATGACTTGCAAGCAAATAAAGTATGAAGGTTATATAAAAAAGCCTCCTGGCAATGTAGGCTGCAAAGATATGAGATTCTGTCTCGTAAGTGATAACTCATATCCCAGGCCTTTCTTCGCCCAACATGGAGTGAATGAACACTGGGGTGATGCATCACTCTGTTCTGCATAAAGTGATTTATGAGTCTACATGAGCTTTTCAGGATGTTCAAATTACACACTGGTGAATTGGGCACTCCTCTAATAAATTCCACTATTTCAAGATCTCAGTTATATACAATTGAAAATAAATGACCAGTAACCTGTAGATTCTTTAAATAAAACTCACCCAGCACCCTCTCTAGTGCTGACTGTTCATTTGAAGACTGTATAGTCAGTAGCCTACGCTACTGGTGGTGATGCACCCAAAGGGGAAACATTGCCCTGCTGGCTGCATTTTGGAGTGGAGGGAGCCATTATTTTGAAAGCTCTTTGATTTCTACTTTAAGGGGCATGGTCAGTGTCCTTTACAAAGGACTTCAGACTGTATTCCTGGGATCTCAGGTGACACCCAGTCAGGGTTTACTAAGTTGAGCTTTTGCAAAGATTTCTGGGAACTTGGGTCTATTCCATTTCCTTAATTCTTCTGGTGGTGGGTGGGTTTGCTTTGATAACCACGGTGTGGCAGCCAGTGAGAAAATGATGTAATTCACAGAAGAAACACTTCCACATGTTCTCTGAATAGCCTTTCCTTTTCTATTTGTTTGGATAAAGGCACTACAGATAGATTTTAAGGTTGTCAAGTCTGATGTATTATTCCTCTATTAAAATGAACTCAGCTAGTGGAAGGCTCATGCAAAAAGTATTATAATTCTGGGAGGCTCACCCAAGAAGGTAATATGCCTCCTAAGTAGAAGATTCAAAAAGAGAGTGTGTGTGTGTGTGTGTGTGTGTGTGTGCGTGCACGCGTGTGTGCGCACGTGCATGTGTGTGCTCATGTGCTCACATGCATGCCGCAGCACACATGTGGAGATCACAAGACAGTCTGTGGAAGTCAGTTTGCTCCTTCCACAATGTGGTCTCTTGGGATCAAACTCAGGTCATCTAGTCTGGTGGCAAGCACTTTTACCTGCTGAAGAATCTAACCAGCCTGGATTTTTAAAAATTAGATTATATCCTATATTTTACAGGTAGATGAGAACAACATGTTATGGATAGACAGTACTGTCTAAGGAATTGGAAGACAGTGAGCATAAGAAAGTTGAGGTGGAAAAGAATGAAGTGATCCTAGGGCCTGGGCGGTGTTTTCATGTGACTAAAAAATGGGGAAGGGAAGAGCTAAGTTTTGAAGTTTGAAAAGGCAGGAGCTCATGGAGCAATATTACTAGATGATAACAATGGGAACTTGTACAGTGGTTTTTCCTAGGACTGTTTGCAAATACTCTATTAAGACCTTAACTTTACAACCTGATAAGTTATAATAAATGTTACACATTCAGCTTTTAGCCTACACATTAAAAATATAGATAAGTAGGCTAAGTGGAGTCTGGGTTAGAGTATGTTATGGAGTAAATAGAATCTTCTTCTGAATTTATTTATTATAACCCCAATATCCCACTAACTTTAGACTGTAACTATTTTTGTAGACAATGTCTTTTAAAACAATATTTAAAGTTATGTGAAATTATAAGCCACAGGGCCAATTCAACATGACTGGTGCTCATCAGGACAAGGTTCCTACAATATAAAATATTGTGATGCTTTTTTATTGTATTTATTTTATTGTTTTATTTTTCTTGAGACAAGGTCTCATATAGCCCAGGCTGGCCTCAAACTCACTGATTGGCTAAGAGTGGCCTTGAACCTCTGATCCATGTGCCTCCACTCCAGGAGTTTAAAAGAAAAGAAAGAAAGAAAAAAAAAATGACAGAAGGAAAAACATCAGTCTCATCACGGAAGTTATTGTGTGACACAGTGAGTCGCACGGTAGGAAAACCCTTTATCCATGTATCTTCACTTGCAGGCATTCATTGCAGAGAACCAATGGTCTCATTCGAGGCCTCTGATTTCTGCTACACTATCAATGCTGTGTCCTCGCCGGGACTTCTCTTGGTTTTCTTGCTGTTGCCCTATGTTGTGGAGATCCTGCAGCTTTGGGTTTGCAGAACTGGTCCCTTCACGGGCTCCAGCAGATCACAGATGGGGTGGATGTTGGGATGGACCAACTCATAACCTTGGTTTTGGGCTTGGGTAGTTGCAGGGTTGGTCAGCCCACCAGCTCTCTTCCATCCTCACCATCAGGGTGGGCTCTCCTGCATTGCCTTGGAGAGTTCACCCCTTGCACTGAAGAGCAAGGATGAAGCCCACAATTTCTTATCAGTAAAATGGAAATTAGCCTTCTAAAGAAGCAAGCCAAATAGTTTAGTATGGCAAACAGATCTGTAATGTTTGAAATATTTCATAAATTTAAGACTTATGCTATTCTGCTGATTTATCTGTAAAAGAGACCAAAGAGAAAATTCTTGCCCATTTAAATCTTAAAATTAAAATGGAATAAAATAAAATAAAAAAAACCCATGGTACTAATTCATAAAGGGTAATGTGTTAGTAGCTACTATGCTTATTGATAATGTGCTTAAAAATTTGCTAAAAGGAAATAAAAAGTATAGTAAAAATGCAGATTCGGTGAGCAGACCCATGGAGGCTGTCAGCTAGATGAAGATGCTATCCATGGAAGCTGTCTGGAGGACACATGGTGACAAAGGTTTTATAAGAAGCAACATAGCATAGTGGTTACAGGAAGGGATGGACAATGTTTAAAATCTCTGTCCACTATTTAGCTAGCAGCTGTGTGATGGTGGAGGTTGGTAAACTACCTAAAATGATATCTTACTTATTAATGAGAATGAGTCTGTTTACTCTGTGGACTTACTCTCAGGATTAGAAGAAGTCATGTACATAAAGATTTTTAACAGGGACATTAACAGGAGGCAAGCGCTAGTTATGTGTCATTATGCACCATTATATCTCACCATAATCGATGGTAAAGTGTTCTGGCTACACTGGAGAGATCATTGTCTCATCTCTATTATCATGACAGGTGTTAACAGCTCATAATACTAACTTCTGACTAAACACAAAGGAAAGTGAGGAAAATATGAGAAATCTGAAGATGTTGGAACTATAAGTAACAAGGAGGCAGCATTTCTCACAGAGTCAACCTAGCCCATCAGTCTTAAGGCCTGCTTTATATCACGGTGTAAGCCCCTCTTGGCTTTTACCAAGCAGATGTAAGGTGTTTTGCTGGACAGTTTTATGGTCTAAAGTGAAAATGGAGTCAATACGAGTCATCACTTGAGTAGGGAAAATGATGGGAAGTGACAAGCTCTGAGCGTTTCTCTTTGGAGACTTCTTTGTTGCATTCAAAGGAATGAGGTGGAAATGGTTGGGACGTGTGTAGAATTATGCAGGCGGTGAAAGAATGGTTGCTGTCTTCTCATTGGCTCCATATTGACTACATTTAGAAATGACGAATAAGATTTTTAAAAAGGAATTCAGTATTAAGCTTCAGCTTTTTAGCCACTGTGTAATATTGGAATACTACATTTGTTGTAAATAAGATTAAAGTAATACATAGCTCCTAGGGCTGAGTTAGGAGAAAGTAGACACTGCTGAATTTAAAATCCCAGGGAATTTGAGCAAGGTGGAGAGTGATGTTTTTGTCTCTTCAAGGAGTAGAACACAGGATGAAACTAAGCCAGTGTGGCATCTGTGTATATATTAAAAGTACAAATTAGCATGTTCATTATCTATACCTATTGGGACAAATAATGTTCACTAGTCCATCAGTTATAAGATTCTCTCATGTACTTGCAAAAACAGTCTAAGGACTCAGAAATAGCAATAGGAATGAAGTTTGCAAACAATTGTGGGAGGAGAATGTTCTAGAAACAGAGTCCAACAACAGAGTGATGAGAGCTATAACATAGATGTGTGTCTGTTTTGTGATTGAGAGATGCTATGGGGATTACTTTAAAAATTATTTAAAAATTTGAGCATATCATGCAATGTGTTGTGGTCACATTCACTCTCCAATGTCTATTCCCACCCTCCCTCACTCTGAATGACCCCCTCCTTTCCACCTTGCTCCCCTCATAAGATGACTAATTTTGACTATCAAACTGACTGCATTAAGAAATGCCCATGGGAGTGTAGAAAGACAGAAATACCTGTTATGATATTTTCAAAATCAACTAAATTTTAGACACTTTGAAACACTGAATACATCAACTAATCCTTTGATGGGTTCATAAGATGTCATTGTTGTGAAGCGATGAAAGGCAGGGGGTGGTGCCCAGTTGGAGGGAGGAAGCCACTAAGAGAAGGTCTACAGGAGCTTTACTGTACCCTGACCCCTTCCTGTAGTCCCATTTGTCTACATACTACATGCCATGAAGCAACGCTTGACTACATGTCCTTGCCACCATGCTATTTTGTCTCACAATGGGCCCAGAGACATGGTGACAAATGAATATGGACTACGTTCTTTGAAACCATGAGCCAAAATAAATTACTGTTTTGGTAAGGTACTTGGTCACATGATAAGAAAAGCCACTAAAACAGTTTCCTTGCAACAAAGAAAAGGCAAAGGACCTGCTGTACTGGATGTGTAAAACATATTAGTGGGAACGGAAACCAAAGCTTCTCTTAATAATTATAATACAAACCCCACAGGTACTTAGCTCAAAGACAACTGGAGCTTTTAAGATGTCTGTAAAGAATGTGTTGGCTAAATATGTTTGTTTAACAGTAGACTAAACCAAATTGGAATATAAACATAGTATCAACTGCTTTTTCTTCAATTCAAATTTCAAAGGAATATTTATTATTAAAGTGAATCACTTCAATCAATCTCCTGTGTCACAATTAAAAGCTTTGCAAATGAGTTTCTCTTAATACGAGAGCCATGCAAATACATGATCTATAGAAAATAAACTTGACATTTTCTGTCACTTGGAAGCAGGCTTCACCAGGATGGCTACTCTGAAATATTTGTCAGTGAGAGTACTGTTGAAAGATAATTTCTCCCATGCTATTATTGTTAAATAATTTCTGTTTTATGATCACATAACTTTTCTGAAGATTTGTTTCTATCAGAAATGAATAAAACATTGTTTCTCAGATCACCTTCACACCCTTGAAGTAAGAACCACCTCCAACTTGTAGTAGTAATATAACACTTGGAACAGAACCTTCTGGTGGGTCTCTGACTCCTGCAAGATGGTACTGCTAGATGGTATTACTTAAAGGTAATAGTTATTATTGGCCCCATTCACACAAAGCAAAGATTGAGTACTCTGATATAGTGGTGGGATATGCCCAGTACAACATCACAAAAGACTTGGTTAATTGAACTAAGTGAAAAGTTCCTGGTTCCCCTTTGGCTTGCAGGACCCTAACTCCTTGTTAAGACTTCTCGTCAGTAACAGGCTGTTCCTCTCTGTAAGGACAGTCTAGCAGTCAAGCCTGACCATGATGCACTAACCATGATGGGTTGTTCCGGAGCATGTTGACATACAACCCAATGAGAACATGTTCATCAGCTAGCCTGTCTGCCACATTCAGGCTGTACTGTATCCTAAAACAGGGCAGGAGGAAAGAAGAATTAAGAGAGGTGGACAGAAATAAGCAGGCACAGTGGGAGTGAGTTTGTGGTAGGAAAGGCACTCAGAAAATCAAGCTAGTAAAGGGGGACTAGATGTGAAGTTCTACGAAAACCAGAAGCAAAACCCAGGCAAGAGAACCCATAACTTCATTCTACTAGCTTTCAAAACACTGAGTGACTTTTTTAAAAAACAGATATCGATTCTTTGACCACAAAGACCAAGGAAATTTTCTGCATGAAAAAAACATTGTAACATGTCACAACAAAGATTAAGTATCTTCTGAGAAATTGGGTTAGTCATGTAAAATTAAGATAGAACAAAAAGGGAGTAGAGACAGTAATAGCACAAGTGTGTCCTCTTGGAACAATGACTAGGTGCTGTTAGTGAGTTGTAAGACAGCTGCTAGTCTAGGATAAATGGTCTTTCACATGCAAACCATTTACAACAAAAGAAACGCCATCTCTAGTTGAGTTAATTCAGGATCCCAGCACACTCTGGCTTGAACTTACCCTTTGCCCTTCAGAAAGGCTGGAGCAGCCCTAGCCAGCATTTTGTTCTGTTCTACTTCACTGTCCTTGGGAGGAGAGCTAGTTAATAAGATGGGAAAGCCAAGAAGAGGGTAAACACAGCGACACATTGAGACTAGAAACCGGCATCAGAAACTTCCTAGTCTAAATCTACACTCTGTGTGGACACGTGGCTTAGGATTTTGAAATGTTCAAGATGTCCCCGGATTTCCATAGAGTTTATCTAAGAGTAGAAACCCATTTGAGAGCCACAGTAGTTACCATGGCCTCAGTCTTGACCTCTGTTATTTGCTTAACAAGGAACACTTGTATTGTATATAGCTAGACATCATGAGGATCCAACTAACATTTATTCTGGGGTATAAGGGAAACAGCCCAGTACTTTGTAAAGCCCTGCTAGTGTTTAGATGCTGTAGAGATAACTCAGCTGTTAAAAGAATGTCTGGCACCTTCTTAGGACTCAGGCTTGGTTCCTAACACTCACATCAGGTGGCTCACAGCCACCTGTGACTCCAACTCCAGGGGATCTGACTCCTCTGACTTCTGTGGGCACCAGCACACACGTGGAGATGGGTATGTGGCACACACCCACACACTTAATTAAAAATAAAATCAATCTTAGAAAAACGTTTGCTTTTCGGTTTCCCTAAATTCTTCAGTCATTTTTCCAATGCAGACACGAGCATTACGGAAAGATGCTGCCATACCAGATGTGTTTCACTGTTCTCAATGACCTGGTCTTGGCCACGAAGTTACAAAGAAAAGTTTCAGATAAAAAGGAATACAGTTTGGAGCAATTTTAATAATGCTGATGTTTCTTCTGTGATATTAATAACTATCTAAAGGATAGATTAATTTTTGACATTTTACATTTATTAAGAGGATTTTTTTGTTTAGTAATTTAAATAACAGTTTCTAAGGTTTCAATGTGGTTTTTATTAAAGGTCAACCTTTGTATTGTAGCCTATATGTCAGTGCACTTAAAATTAAGTCCCCACATTTGTGGAAAATACAAAATTAAAAATCTGTGTTTACAAGATTCCTTTTTATCTTGTGGGTGTGGTATTTTGTGTGCATGTATGTCTATGCACCACATTCATGCATTGGCCTCAATGCCAGAAGAGGGTGTGAGATCTCCAGGGACTGGAGTTACAGGTGGCTGTGAGTGATCATATGGGTGCTTGGAACCATATTCTACTCCTGCAAGAGCAGCAAATGCTCTTAACTACTGATCTATCTTTCCAGTCACCTGATTATTCAGATACTAGAATCTAAACCATAAGAGGCACCAAATTTCCAGGAAGTCCCAAGTCACATCTATATCATGTTTGTATACCACATATACATCTTAGGCATATATCACATACAAGGTATTACAAAATACCTAAAACCATGTACAGATTTGTTTGGGGCCGTGTGTGAGGACCAATGGGTAGCCCTGAAACTCATGGAACATGGATGGGCGGTTGGCCACACCTGAGCAAGACTTGGAGAGGCAAAGCCCTGGGAACCACATGTCCTGTGACCCTCATCCTGAGACCGCTGCCTTTGCAGTCACCACATCCTTCACAATCTCTGGGCTATATGAAAACTCTCAGGGGGTTTCTAGCCCCTCACTGGGCAATGTTACTGGCTTTTCACTAATAGTGATTGACTTTCTCCAAGCATTGCTGCTGGAGCAGATTAATGATTCAAACACCACCCTTAGAAAGAATTTAGACACATAGATTGTAAAATAAGGTTAAGTTGTTTTTGTTAATAGCTTTGAGGTAGAAAATCTTGGGGAACATTTTAAAGTTTAAAACAGCACACTTTTAATAGTCAAGTGAGGGACCCATTGAGGTCAGGGAACAAAACAATGGCAGCCTAGCTATTGCTGGCTGACATACCCTTCTTACTAGGGTAGGTTGGTGATCAAAGGTGATGATTAACTCCTTTGTACCTATGTCTGCCCTCAGCTTCCTGATATAAAAAAAATTGTCAAATGGGTATGCACTTTGAGGATTTGAAATAGAAACAGAGCTGACTGAGCATTTAATGATTGTCACAGTGCCCACAACAGATCACTATGGTTTTAAAACTGATACATTAGGCTACTGTCCTAGAGGATCTGATTTCCCTATGGTCTTAATGATGCTTCTCAGGATATTGATTTTTTTATTCACTAAGCTTTAAGGAGCATCCCACCATGACCAATAACCACCTTAACCCATGCAGTTGATGTTTACTGTAATGTTCCATTATTCCACCTGGCAGCTCTCTAAACCTTGTCCCCTGAAGCAAGTCAACATACATTCCTTATCCAAAAATCAAAGTTTTCTTCCTTCTTTTCAATGTTTCCTCAACCATTTTCTCAAGCTGAGGGACGATGCCTCTGTTACAGATCTCAGATGTCCACGAAACATTCCCTATACTGTGAGAAACACCAGCCACCCCTCCTCCACACAAAGTAGTTCCTTGCCCTCTAATATCTTTTTGCTCTTTAAATATCAGAAATTATAGCAGTAACTCCTCAAACCAAGTACTATTAGCCTTATTAAATTATTCAGGCATATCTTCTGATATAGAATGCAAGATTTGAAACAAAGATCCAGTAGAGACAACTAATGGGACTTGGAGGATCAGACACTTTCCAAATCTTTCATATATAGTTAAAATTCTACTGTTAGTTTTGAAGGTTGACAACTTATGTCATGATTTTTATTTTAATGAAAGAATTTTGGGGATGTCTTAAGGTGAGATTCTACATGAATACTGATTGGATTTTGTTGAAACCTGAGATTTGTATTTTAAAATAACTGCTTATGCTGTTACGCTATTAAACTCTGACCAAGGAAATTTGTTTTTCTCTTATTGAACATAGTATCAAAGGATTGTATTTAATCTCAGGGAATGTAGAATATTTCATATCCCAGTGGTTAAAAGGGAAACAATATTTTAATCACCATAGATTTTTAAAAAGCACAAATCTAGTTTCTATGAATTCTTAAGTAACTGACAGATTGTGAAAAATTCTTGTGATGTTGGCTCTTTCTTCGAGAGATTTTTCAACAGTAAAAACCTACTTTTCACTAATTTATTCAACAGTGATGAAGTCATTAAACTCACACACTCAATAATAAGAGTCCTCTCATTACTTTAGTGAAGAGAAAGTTTCTTGAAATATTCTATTTTAGTTTCCTACATTTCAACAGGTCATATTGAAATATAAAACTCTGGTATATGCAAGTCAAAATTATGCATACAAATAAGGTTAGTGTCCCAGCAGTAAGACTAGTTACCCATGGGGATGGACAGAAAGCTCAGTAGTTAAGAGCTTTTACTGCTCATGCAGACCACCTGGAGTTAATTCCCAACACCCACCTAGTAGTTCACAACAGACTGCAACTACAATTTCTGGGGTCTTATGCCCTCATTTTTGCCTCCATGGGCAGCAAGCATGGGGTGCATATAAACTCACACAGGCATACATACATATATACACATGAATCGAACAAACAAATGTTTAAAGAAGAAAATGAACATCTATCAGTTCAGGCTAACATAAACACTAAGCCATCTTAAGAGATATAATAGAAGAAATGAAGAGTTCTTAGGTCAATTTTGCTTGCTCACATTTGTTATGTTGTTCCCTAATATCATCACCAAGTTGTGTCAATTGCATGTTTGTCAAGAGCGTTCATAGAAAAGTCTTCTGTGCACAGAACATGTGCAAACACAACTAAAGCTTCCCAGTAAGAGAGGAAAGGCCAATGAAGTGAGATGACCATAGTTTTAACTATGTGTTAACATATTTGTATGGATATTAGAACTTTGTTTGAAGACTGTTAGTTCTAGCTTTTTAATTGTGTGATGACATGTGTATAAGGAAATCAGAACTTTGGTTAAGACTGTTAATTTTAGCTTATATATGAATTTAAGATTATGTACGGAGTATGGCTATCTTATTTATATAATTTCATGCAACATACACAGGAATTGTGAAGATACTAAGAAAATTGTCAAGGCAGTGCTAGGCATTGATTGATAAATTTTCCTGCCTTTGTTGCCGAAGGTGGATGAGTTTCATTCTTAGACAACATCAGCCATGGGAAAACTTTCCGGAAGCAAAGGCCGAATCCAGTATAATTCTGTTAATCACTTTGGACGACCAAATCACAAATGCCTATAATATAGTTTGACCCTTTGAAGTCAGATTAAAAGCTGGGCCATTAAATAAAGAATCTTTGGGTGAGCTGTGTTTGAAAAGAACAAAAACAGACACAAGGAATTAATTAGTCTTTTTTTTTTTTTTTTTTTTTCTGCACTGAAAGCCAGGAAAACAAATGACCAACAAGTTGGGCAAGGAAGATGTCACATAAGGCTGTCCCACTGGGAAGAATCAGGATTTGAGAGTTGGTTAGGGTGTAAAAAAGTGCATCTCTCTGTAGGTGCCCTTCTCACAGGTACTACAGAGCTTAATGCAGTGCCAGGAATAAAAAATGGAAAATGGAAAAAAGTATATTGGGTTGTATTCAGAGCACCATATCACTTATATGAGCAATTTTCTAACATTTAAAGAAGGGTAAGGTCTGGCTAGGTGCCATATATAATAGCCAAAGTGGTTTATTTGTGAATATTGCCCCCTTAAAAGTTATAACCATGAAAATGCTTATGAAATCCTTAAAGCTTGCTCTCAATATTGAAAATAAATTAACCATTCATACTTTTAAGTGGCATCGTGGCTAGCGAAGAAGATGGGTCATAATTAAAGCAGCGTATTTAACATGGGAAAGTGGCAGATGACTCTTGTTTACACACTAAGCAAGGGATTTGGCCAGACCCTTAAGATTTTACAAGGAAGGTATGATGCCAAGGAGAAAGCTGACCTTATGGAGCACTACCCCATGAATGAAATGAATTGATCTATGAATTTGTTGTTTGACCCACTTCTGACCTAAGTGCTAACTAGCATTGAGTATAGATTTGTTCATACAGCACACAGATGCTTGAAGACTTCCCAGGACAGTGGGTGAGTGCCTTTAAGAATCCCGTCTTCCTTTTAGCTAATGGAAAAGTGAGTTGAGTATCTAGTTGACAAAGATCATAAAAACAGGAGAGACGGCAGGTGGTGCTAGGTTCAGAGCTCCATCTGCACGAGGTAGGTCCCTAGAATGGTAAAGGACTTCAAAGACACATCTAGTGCTTTCTGAAGACCAAAGTGGCAGGTTTGTAAAGGACTGAGGGATGATGCTAGGCAGGGCTCTGCAGGGAGGGCCTTGCTGTAGTGATTTCAGCTTGCTCACTGTCTGCCTCATCACCCTCAGACCACCAAGACCCATAAGTACCAACTGACAGCTCAGTCTCCATAAAATAGCTGTGTAAGTTTTCCTAAAGCTTTCTGGCTCTATTGAGGGGCCACTGGAACTTGATGGAAGTAGGGACCAAGTTCTAGATCATGTTTTGGTAGTCTGCCTCTAGTTATAGAAGGAAAGGGACCTTTAATTATGCCTTTGGCAATGATGTAGTTGCATCCACCTTAGTGTGTGTTGCAGTAAAGAAAGCAGAAACCAGTCAATATTAGCAGCATCAGGTGGGAGAAACAGCATCAGCAACAAGAAATTGGCTTCAAAAATTCACTTCTTTAGTGATTCAGACCATTTACCTTTGACATGAAAATGGCCCTGGCTCAGTGGGACAGAAAAGCGTATCCTTGGCTCTTTATCTGCACCAAGGTCTTGCCAGAGGCCCTTGTTCTTGCCTCATTTATGTAGTGATGAGCCATTCCTCAGGGATCCTTAATTCAAGAGTCTTAGGAATTGCCATCTAGGGTCTTGCAAATGATACACAGCCCAGCTTGGCACTTTTTGTAAACATGCACCTCACACTAGCACAAAGCCTTCCCTTGAACACCCACCATCTCCACCAAAAGACTAAGGGTTTTCATACTGGGGTAGAAACATCAGCTTTCTAGCAACTGTTTAATGGCTGCTATCATTAAAGACTCGGAATGGGGGTACTTCGAATCCCCAAGGTTAAGCTGATTTGCATAGAGCTTTCTGGGTAGATGCTTAGCTGTGGGGCTGCACTTAACTCAGGTGACCTGAGGGGTACAGACAATGAAACCTCCCATGGACAGAGCGAGGACCACTCACAGAGGATGGGTCATCAGTGTACACAGCTTTATTGAGCAACACCCTAAAAACAAAAACTGAAGTCCAATCTCTGCAGTGGTAAGAACCACAGGTTTTACTCAAATCTGAGGTTCACGGGGAACAAGACAAAGGTACTGAAAAATGGGAAAAAGGGAAGCAATCAAAGTCTAGGTTAATAGAGGAGGCAGAAAAGCTCAAAGTATTCTAGAACTATTTTAGGGTACAGGAGTCATGTTATCCATCTAGACGCAGCCATCATAAGCACGATCCGAGCTGAAATGATATAAAATGACCTTCAGTAAGGATGGGGTCTGCCTCGGTGTGGGGTTGCAGAATGCAGAAAGCACATAGCATCTTTCTAAGCATCACACCAAGTCTTCACTAGATAGATGCCCAGGTATCCTACTGACCATACATTTTTTCCTTTAGGAAAGACGGCATTATGTGTTGATGGTTAAAAAAAAAATGGTCACAAGAAGTTACCGAATGACAAAATCTTATTATTTTGCTGTGCATGTTCTGTGGTATATACGTCTCACAGTTAGTACTTAGGACAGATTTAATGTATATGTTGCAAATACTGTGGCAGCATATTCTTTTTGTTTTGCTTATTATAAGGTAGGGGAAGTTTTTCATCTCAGGTTCCAGCTGATGAGCATATATAGAGATGCAAGGGAAAAATTAGAAGCGGGCTTGATAAGTCTTTCTCTAGAATGGGCCAGAATATTGTGGAGTGAAGTTGGCATGTACTCATCCTCTTAGGGAGGTAGGGGGGTGCTCTGCAAGGCAGTTGGGATCTTATGCTTAATCACATGGTCATTTCCCTTACCTTTCTTCTGGCTTTCCTGTGAGAAGTCTCCATGTATTCACCACATAACTCCCTGGTGTTGATCTGTGGTATTTCACCAAATGAACCATAGCACCTCTTGTGAGCCCATGTGTTCTTTGAAAAGTCCTTGATATTATCCATGTGAGTATTTGTATGGAAACTGTATTCTAGGTTTGGTTTTCAGCCCTGGACTTAGGAACTCCAGAGGTCATCCAGAAAGTATTCATTCACACCTGGACTCTTAAATAATGAGTCATTTTAAATCCTTTATAATACTATACCCCTGCATATGTATAAGTAATAAAATTGAAGCATACCATACATTCTTAATGTGGGGAAGGCTATAACACAGGATTTCAGAAGTTGCATAAACCTCAAGAGCCAGCCCAGCCCTCTTTGTATGTCCATGTGAGGGAAATTGAGAGCAAGTGATGGGCATTTACAAACGTGTTTCCAATAATGATAATAATATTCTGCATTTGTCATGCAGTAGAGCATTTTCCTCACCATAGTATTAAGTGTACTCAGAAAGGGATGGTTATTTAGTGACAGGATTGGGAACTTACCTCCTAGTGATGAAAGGACTTCCTGAGGAGGGAACAGAATGGGAGAAGAGTGTGTCGTTCATGCTGGTTACAGGTCTTGGAGGCCTGAAACAAATCACAGTGCGCGTGACAAAAACGAAGGCAAAGTAACAAATTCGAACTTCCTACCCTCCATGGAGGGAAAGGATGAGAATCAGAGTTGTCTCTAGTTCATATCCATAGGAAAGCTTATATACACCTCCGAGTTATTCTAATGATACAAAGTTGCAATTCCTTGAGCACACTGAGACTTAAACTATAGGGAGATCACAGGCCACAGGGAACTAGTTTTCCATGAGCTGTGAGCCTCGATGCTTTCTCGAGTCATGTTTCTGAGCAGATCAAGGATTCTAAAGGTTCTGTGTGCTGCTCACGATATGGTCCTCTTTAATATGCTGGTCTGAAAGGAACACGCCAAAACAAAACAAAACCACATCTTGTTTCATTTCTCCTCTGTCTCAGTGCAGATGCAATGAAGCAGCATCAAGATTCCTGTTCCTGCTACTTGGCAGACCCAGATGTGGTGTCAACTACGCTATGAGCTTCATTGTATTCTTAACAGCCAGTGAGGGAAAATAGTGACCATTGTTTCTCAGAACTGCCATTGAACCTGTACACCACATGCATTGGGTCTGCCTTCCTCTGTCTTGTCTCCATTTAATCTCATCATTGTCTTTATCATGTATGTCCCACATCAGATAAAAACACAGAATCCAAGTCCAGATCTCATCTCTTAGACATTTTTTGTTAAATGTAAGATATTGAACATCAATTTAGAGCTCAGAAGATGAAGGATATACTATGCATCATTCGTAGTGAGAGGAAGTTTACTTATTTTCCTGTTGAGATGGGGTCTGATGTAGTTCAGGCTAACCTCAAACTCATTATGCAGCTGAGAGTGATCTTGAACTTCTGATTCTTCTGCCTTGACCTCCTGAATGCTGGGATCACGTTCATGTGCCATGGTGGTAGATTTATGTGGTGCTGGGAATCCAACTCAGGGCTTTGTGTATGCTAGGTGAGCACTCTACCAACTGAGTTATATTTCAAGCCCCAAGAAGAAATGTTAGTTTTACCCTAATTCTACATTTGAAATTGACAGTGTAGGATATTTTGGAGATAAGACATTAGTTTCAGTAGTCTAAGAGACTTGATTAACAGGTAATGTAAATGGCTTTTATTAATCCAAGTTAGTTTTGCATTTTTGCCTTTACCAGCAAAACGTGGACACATTTATTCTGTTTGATGTGATGAATTACAGGTTTTAAAATATTGGCATTGGCTGTGAAAATTCACTGTGACTTCTTCCTAGTATCTGGTGCTGCACCACATCCCCAATTTTGTGTGGGGCATTACTTCTTGGATGAAGTCAGAACAACAGATTCACTAAGTCATTCACTCTGGACTTATCAACCAGGGTTCAGAGAACAATCTGAAAACTTTGGGTTATTTACCTAGGATGCATCTTTGTGCTGGGGTTAGTTAAAACTAATTGTGCTTTAACGTGAATAACTTAATTTTAAAATAGGGTGATCAGTGCATCCAAATATCCTCTGTAATTAGGAAGGTAGGCACATTAGATTTTAAAACTAATTTGGATGAAATGCATGCATTATAACTTTGCAAAAAGTTAAAATTGACCCATTTCTTGTTTTCTTTTTATAAAAGAAAAAAAATCTTTCTGATTTTGCTCTATATCTAGGAGGTGGAAAACAAATGAATCGAGAATGCTTTTTAATTAACTAAGCCAGTTTTTTTTTTTAATTGAGCCAGGTAACCACAAAACTAAAATTGGGGTTTCTTAGCAAATTACTTCATGTTTAAGGGTTACCAATCAATATACTGAAATTGGAGCAGCAAAAGGCAGATTTGAGAGCTACTGAAGTTCCAACTTTCCTCCATCTCCAAATGGCAAGTTTGCTTCCTCAGCATAAGTCCCACCTGGGAGACGTTAATGCATTAATTCTTACTAAAAACGAAGCAGCCCCACATGAATAATGAGTCTCAGAGGCAATACGCAAAGATTTTTTCCCTGCATAGATCTTAGTAGGGAACTTATAAAAACCTAACACTGACATGGCATGCTTCTCCTAAGTGCAAAGGTTTAGCTCAGAGCTGGGCTAGTTTTCCATTGGCCTTATATTGCTCACTTGTTTTCCAACTCATAACTACTTATCATTACGATTGTCAGTTTGTGTAAGTATGTGTGTGTGGGGGGTGTTAACCACTTACCAAGTATCACTTTTTGGCAGCAGGGAAGTGGAACAGAATAGAAAATGTTAATCATGGCAACATTTACAAGCAATGTGATAGTTAGGCACACATGCCACCACCAAATGCCACCACCACCTGTTCATTTCCATGTAAGGACTAATTCATGTCAGGCAGTGTCATTTTGCTACATGTGCATAAAATCCCCTGGCGCTTGAAGGCAATAGCATTATCTTTATCATGTGATTCATTTCTATATGCAAAGTTAGTAGTACCCCAACCTTAATTGTTTTTGTTATTGTTGCTATCCTTGTTGTTTTTTGAGATGGGGTCAGCCCGTGTATCCCTGGCTGGCCTGGAACTTGCTACGAACCAGGCTGACCTTCAGTTCCCAGAGATCTACCTACCTCTGCCTCCTGAGTGCTGAGACTGAAGGTTCGTACCCCACATTGGGATGTTTAAAAGTTCTATTGGTCCAGTCTCTCCTTATCTAAGCTTGCAAAATGTTTATTTCATTACACAGTCTTACGGCCATCATACATTTGATGTTTTCCATATGTGGGAATAGGATATTAAAAGCATTAAGTGTACAGGGAGGTATTAGTGTTTGGCATTCATTAGTATTCATTCTCTTATTTTCATTGTGTAGTGCTCTATAAAAGGCTTGTGATGAGAGAAGTTGCTACTAAATGTTATATAGTTTATAAGGCTCATTAAAATACGAATTCACATAGACACATATTCAGACATACATGCATGCATGCATACATTCACACATGTATACACACATGCATACACATGAACACACACATACACACATATACATGCATAACACATGTACACACACATATATACACACATACACACGCACACACAATCCCAAGTGCTGACTGTACAAGGCCCTGGGCAGGGTAAGTACAGTGTGGCTCACTTTTCTGTGGCAGCATCCTTACGCTGCTATACTGCAGTGCTCTCAGGGTTAGGCCCTTGCCGCTCACTCTGTGCCTCCATGCCCAGCAGCTTGGAAGTGGGAGCAGTCAGAGGAAACTGAGTCTCCACAGAGTTCACACAGCACAGGCTCCTTCCACCTTGTGCTCCTTCATGAGTGACTCGGATGTTTTGTCTCCTTGGTGATGCCAAGGGCAAGAGCAGGCATTAATGCAAAGCTCCTGGGCAAGTCAGCACTATAAGCAGTTGGTCCCTTGGGCTGCTCCTCTTGTTTGTGTACTCCTGGTTTATTTTATTGGAGTGTCATTTTAAAGAAGTAAAAACTAAGTTAGCCACAGTCTACAGGGTGGGTTTTATATTGGTTTTGTGGCTGTTTGGCCTATGCCAGCATTGTGTTTCTTTTTTACTTAAAAATTTAAATCTTACGTGTGTGTGTGTGTGTGTGTGTGTGTGTGTGTGTGTGTGTGTGTGTGTGTGAGTAAAACAGAAGGGGCAGTATTTGGGTGAGCCAGCAAGAAGGGGAAAGAGGTAAAGGGAATGGGAACACAGTGTATGTGAGAAGTTTACAATGAAACTAATTTCTTTGTATGCTAACCAAAATAAAAGGAATAGAAGAATAAATAAAACTTGGTCCCTGACAAAGGATGTGCAGTTGTTTTGGTATGAATGTTCCAGACATGTGTGAGTAAAGGAAGACACATCTTAGCCTGGGGTAAGAGATACTCACACGATATGAGCCAAGTTGAGTGGCTTTTCAGGCTGATCAGGGAACATGGGGTGTAAAGGTTCACGGCTTGAAGCACAGCTCAGGGACTTGCTTAATGCATTCGTTAGTTTCTTAGCAGGTGATTTCTAGAAAGAGAATAAAAACACATTTTATCTTATACTTAATCAGATGAATTCAACATTTTTAACTAACAGTTGCATATTTGCTCAATTATTTCTTGATTGATTCATTTACTGACAAGCTCTGTTTGGAGCACCTGCCCTCTAAGTCAGGAAGTTTGTTACAGGAAGCAACTGCATGCTGGAGCAAGCCACCAGGCTACCCACCCCTTGCTGCAACGTCCCCGCAAGGCGCTATGCTGAAGGGGAGAAGTCCTTGTATGGGAAAACATGTGTTGAGGTTTAGGAGAAGATCTCAGGGGAATGGGAGGGTAATCCCACATGGGAGGGATAACAACCGTAACAGGAGGAAGGAGAGGGGAACTCATTCTAGAGAGGACAGTGGGAGACAGCCACGTTCCCGTTGGGTAGACAGATGCTTGTTCATGTCTCCTCAGGAAGAAGAAACACTGTGTGTGAGTGTGTGTGTGTGTGTGTGTGTGTGTGTGTGTGTGTGTGTGTGTGTAGAAATATTTGGCAAGTTACCCTTTTCATAAAGCCTACAAGATATATTTAAATATAGCTCATACAACTTTGCATTCTTGTGATTAAACCATTTTAAGCAGTTCAATTGGCTTGGCTGATGGTACAGCCAACAGCAACCAATCCAGGCACAAAGCAGTAGTGAGAACAGGGTGAGAACTGAACTTAGAGTTTAACTGAGGTAGTTCAGAAAACAGAGAGCCATATAAAACAGGAAGCACACAGCGTTTACTCCACAGACCCAGTGCCACATGCTCCTGCCACAAGGGCACTCACAGGCCACGTTAACTAAGTTCACCACTCACGCTATGGAAAGATGACTTTAAAACCACACATTTCCCTCTCCATTCCCTGAAAAAAAAATCTGGAACTGCACCAGTTTTGTTTAGCACGCATTCTCATATTCCTGTCTAGTTGTGCACTTGAAAGAAATTAGGGATCTCAGGAAAAAAAAAATCGATGAAGCATTTGTTTTACCAATTTGCATAGAAATAAAACAAAGTGTAAGTTAGTAAGACACATCCTTTACAGTAAAATGAGTGCTCCAGAGCTGCCTGACTTCCTGTTGAATAGATCAGTATTGACCTGTCTGTATCCTGAGAAGAATCATAGTTTGGTTCTTCCGGGATTTTAAGCCTCAGAAACCCACACATAGCTCAGGTATAAACAGTAAGAGATCCCAGTGGGGTGGGGGAATGGCAGGGACGGGGAAGGAGTGCTGGAATAGGAGTTAAGTTTGTCTTTAATTTCATCATCATCTGTCCTGGTTAGCTTTTTTTGTTTGTCATCTTGACACAAGTCAGGGTCACCAGGGAAGAGGGAACCACAACCAAGAAAATGCCGCCATCAGATTGCCAAGTATGGGGGGCGTTTTCTTGATTGACAATTTATGTGGGAGGGTCCAGGCCTCTGTGGAGAATGCTGTCCTGTGGAGGTGGACCTGGGTGCTATAAGAAAACAGGCTGAGCAAGCAATGAGAGCAAGACAACAATAAACGAGGCTCCTCCATGGCCTCTCCTTCATTTCCTGCCTCCAGGTTCTTACTGAGGTTCTTGCCCTGACTGCCCTCAGTGATGATTTGCGACCTGGGAGTTTCTTCCATGAGTTACCTTTTGTACTGGTCTCCATCGCAGCCACAGAGAAACTTAAGCAATGCACAGTAACACTCACACACCCAGCTTATAACACTGCTTGGACCTCACTTACCCATGATGTATACTCTTTCATTTGGTGCTGGTTGCTGTGGGAACCTCCCGCATGGCCCCTCCAGAAACAGTCCTGGCAAAGCTGGTAGTTGTGACACTGTTGGCATCGGTAGCGAAATCCCATCATGCTCTCACTATGACAGTAGGAACACTCTACTGGATGGAAGACTAGGAAGGAAGCAAAGGAGGAAAACACTAGGAAAGGTGTGAACTAAACTAAAGAAAAACCACCACTTACAAGGAATTCTATTTTTAAGATGTGTACTGTGGTGATTTCAGACCACGATCAATTGTGACTGTGACAAGCATTTAGTTTATTCCTGGAACTACACTTTTCAAGTGTGTCCGTGTGTGTGTGTGTGTGTGTGTGTGTGTGTGTAGGGGGGGTAGACATGCAATAGGATGAAGAATAAGTGTCCTCTGGCAACACAAATCTCTGTAATGTCTTTTGTTCTTTGACCCCTATTTCTTAAGTCATAGAGTGTAAATTATCCAGACTGATGAGTCTTTCCTCCACACCATCTCCCAGAGACCAGCAGAGGTCATGAAGACACGGAAGCACAATGGATGAATACAGTTAAGTATTCAGTAGGAAGGGGCAAATGTTAATGAAATAGAGAATGGAGGAAGAAAAAGAAATGAAATAGGGGAATAGTAAAACTAGATGAGAGAACTGAATTCCTTTAAAAAAATGGAGTAGCTAATGGACTTATTTAATGAGTGACACTGCCTTTATCAAACACACATACACTTTTCTGAGGGCAGAAGGCGAGGTCCTCAAAAGATAAACAAATTATTTGAACACAATTCTGACTTAGACTGTTTGAGAGATGCCTCCCTTGCTTTGCCAGGGATTTTGAACTGCCAAGATGGCCGTGTCAAAACTTGGAGGTCTGAAACTAACATATAATCAGATCCGAATTGTCTTAATGCCATGAGCTAAAGACACTGAAACAATAGCAGCAGCAGCAGCAGTTGCACACTAACAACAATTCTTGCTTGTTTTTAAAGTGATTTGACGAACTGGGAAAGAAATGTATTACAAATGAGAATAAACGATAGGAAGTAAAATGTGAGAAAAGACCAAGATGCATTCTGCATGTGCTGCTGGCTAAGGGACATTTGGAGCCCCTCTCCTGGCACCTGGGTAAACTCAGGTCTGAGTTAAGTCTGGGTAACTGCCTTGGACAAATCCTAAGAAGCAGATCTCCTGTGATAGGAGACTCAGACGTCAGAGTTGAAACTACAGCACTGGGATTGGTCCATGATGCCTTCTGGAATGCTGACCAGAGCTCTGAACCCATCCTGTGTCACAGTGAGCACTTAACAGCTCTTGGCTCTAGCATCCATATTATTCTTAGTAATAACAAAGGAACTAATAAATTCATTCTTTAAATTTTGTTTAAAAGCAAAATGGAATAAACTTATAACCCTGAGAGACAACAAAGGCAGATGATAAACATTCCAAATGAGAATTTAAAACAGATCCAACTTTATCCCTAATGATTATTAAAGCAACACATAAACATGGGATAGATATTTTCTATTAAAATTATCCATTCAATTTGACAATAAAACTACAGACATCAGATAGAGGTTTTAGTCTGATCTGTGTGTAAATTTCTTTAAACCTGACCTAGGTTGTGTTTTATATTTAAACGTGAGTATGACAATGGTAAACAGCTTTCATATTAAAAATTTTTTTTGCTACTTTTGAAAAGAAACATGCAGTGAAGTTTACATTACTCTTGTCTTTAAGATAATCTACTTTTTGGATATGTATAACCTTGAACATGTGCCTTAAGGTGAGCAAGTTACTACCACTTATTTCTTTCATTTATTTCCTTACTGTTTCTTTCACGGATTCCTGGATGATCTCTTTGAAAAAAAAAAATGGTCAATGACATAGATACCAATATGGAAAATTTACATCTAAAATAAATCCTAGAAAATGGTTTTTGTTTTTAAAATCTTTTAAATGTTTTATTTTCTTTATTTTTTTTAACTTTTATTTTGTGCACACATTTGTCTGAGTGAGGGTGTCAGGTTGCCCGGAAATGAGGTTACAGACAGCTGTGAGCTGCCATGTGGGTGCTGGGAATTGAACCCAAGTCCTCTGGATGAGCAGTCAGTGCTTTTACCCTTGAGCCATCTTTTTAGTTCCCCCAAAAATGTCCTTTATGGGGATCTTTCTATTGAACAAAGATAGCTTGAAACTGAGGTTGCAATGCAATTGAGGTGTTTCGCTGTGGGAGCATTGATTAAGTTTTGGTAGGTCAGAATATAGGTTGGTTAAGTGATCCACTAAACAAATTTTCCTGAAACTCCATGGACTTCATAACTATAAATTTGGTGGTGGTCTACATTGACCAATTCAAGTACTGCTTTTGTCTCAGCAGTAGCTACTCACCATTTTCTACATTTGCCAGTCGATGCAGAAGAGGCAGCCAAACCAGGCACTGTGGGGGAGGGTCTGACATGAGTGTGTCCAAGAAGCCATTTAATGTGACTTTTTTCTGCACCAGAAGGAAAGAAAACCACAAAAGTGTAGGTCAGAGAATAATCTGAACTCTTGGGCTAGCCACATGTCACTTGACAAAGAAACAAAGCATCCAGTTAACTCCAGATCTAGGAAGACACAGGACTTGCCAAAGGGAGTTGTTACACTTATTTACAACTGAGGACATCCACTGCTTCTTGCGCCTAAATGTCGAGAGACCAGATCATCTATACCAAGCCTAGTCAGGTCACAAGCATAGGGGTCTGTGCCTCGTTTCAGAGATGAGGGGAGGTGTGGAAACGGGAAGGCGAAGGGCTGAAATCTGCACTCAGAAGTCCTCGGGACAAAGGCTGTATTTACTTCCCTGCCAGTTGGGCTGTTTGTGAATGACGAGTTTCCTCTTTTGCTTACACACTGAATATTTAGTGGTTAATGTGAAAGGCTCCACTGGAATTCAGGGATAGCAGTAATTTTCAAATGGTAAACTTATTTTCTTTGAAAATTTGAACTAGGATATCAAGGTGGATACGACCATAACAGTTTTAGGAATAATGAGTCCCAAAGAGGTGTAGTGATTTTAAGGCCCATATTGTGGGTTAAACCTTGCTTCTCACGAATAACTGATTCGGGATTGATGTTTTTCTGTCAGATTAGAGGCTGCACGTGAACCTATTGATGTTTTAATTATTGTCTGTGGTCCCACAGCTCCGCAGTGCACTGCGGGCCACTCAGGCCAAGGTCTGGAAGGGCCTCTGGTCCCTGGGTCCTGGCTCTGCTGCTGCTATTATATGTAGGCTTAATCTAAGTCTCTACATTCTATTTATCAATAAGGCTCAGAAGTCAAAGGCTGGGGTGAAAACCTGCTAGCTCAGACAGGCTGAGTAGCAACTAGCTGTGTTTTGGCTGGAGATACTTCAAGAGACACGTCTCCTCCCTTGTCTCAGAACCAAGAAGAAGCCCAAAATCTCTTCCCTGCCCTTTCCTTCCTGGGTATCTTCTCTATCCAAATTTCTGGCCGCTTTATGTCCAATTCTGGTCAACTAGTCACTGGCTCTGCCCCCAATTCAAGGTATAACTGTATTAAACAGTCTCTGGAGTGAGTGCTAGAGTGCCACAAAACTATCCCACATCACTGGATCCATGGATTAATCCCTCATTAATAGCAATGTATAGTTTTAGTGTCTTCTCATAACATTAACTAATTTAAGCTTTCTATTGGGTTGATATGTATATTGCTATATATATATATATATATATATATATATATATATATATATATTTGCATGAAGTATTAGTTAGGAGACAGTACTTTTAAAAGAATTCAGAATTTATATGTTGAAAAGAAAATTTCCCTTCAAAGCTATTGCTCTGCATTGTACGGACTTTTCCCCAGTGAAATATTTCAAACGCATTTGGAATTCCAGTCATTTGTTTATTCATTTCTTATGTGTATGGGTGTATGAGTGCTTTGACTATGTGTATGTCTATGTGCATACACATGAGTGTCTTGTGCCTATGGAGGGAGCCAGATCTGCTGGGACTGCAGGTACAGACAGTTGGAAGCCTCCATGTAGGTGTTGGGAATTGTCCTGGGAATTGAATGCAGATCTTCTGCAAGAACAATCAGTGCTCTTAGCCACTGAGTCATCTCTCCAGTCACCTCCTCCCTGTCCCTGAATTTCAGCATTTTAAATTGTGGATTTAAAAACATTAAATTAAAAATAAAGTGTCACTTTCTAAAATTTTCAGATGCCTTTATCTACTGTGGTTGCTGAATCACATTGGCTAAATTATAATTGATCCTGAAGTTTCCAAGAGATTGCTGTAACTTGGATATGTACAAATTTCTCATCATTAAAAATAAATAGATAATGGTGTTATGAGACAATCTCTAGGATATTTTGAAAGGAGCTTTTAGCATGAGAGCATCTTATTTAATAGTTTTTCAACATCACAAGTCATTTTATGTTTAAAGGTCAGGTATAGAAAGACAAACACTATGTTTTCACTCATGTAGAAGGTAAAATGCTCATCTCAGAGAGTAAAAGATAATTCCCTAGAGGCTGGAAGGAAGGAGGAGGAAGATGGATGGAGATACAATGGGCAATGGGTACCAGAATGCAGCTAGGAGAAATACCAAATCCAAAATGACGTCACTGAGACAAGAATGTATTGACTCAGGGCAGAGGTGCAGGAATGTTCAGGAGCAGCTAAGCCCTGAGTGTTGGGGTTGGGATTGTGATGATTCCAGAAAGGCTTTCCTTGACTAGATGGCACAGGAGTGGAGTTAGCATCTAAAGCAGCTTGCCGCGTATGACTTTTCTTATCAGGTTAGTTAGGATTCTACAGCTGTATGATAGGGGTGATGCTTGATGTAGTTTCAATGTATCAGATGGCCAAGAAGATGCAGACTGATCATGTCACTAGCTGGGTGCACAGTGTGGTTTTCCAGTAGCTGCTGTGCACGTTTCTTTCCCCTTTAAACTTTGTTTAATGTTTTAATTGAACAGACCACTTGAGAAAGCATACATGGTTAGTTTAAACTGTTTGACTGTAAACAAACATTATGTGCATGAATTTAGAAACTACCGTTATATTGTATAGGGAAATGAACACATGGTCTTTCCAAAGAGGTATAAGCTGGAGATGCTGCAAATTAAACTCCTTTCCTAGCAACAAGGTCAGCTGAAAGTATCACTATGCCACATTGTGAGAGATTTAGGAAGCAGTGTGCATCATGTATTGGACTACCCCGATAGTCACGTGGCATGAGAGGAGACTCCTTTGAAGAATGTTGGTAAAACTTAGTGTGGGGCTAGGCATACCTCATTTGGGGCTGAGTGACAAACCAGTTCTTTTGATAATATAGTGATATTAATGGCAAGGATACTGAGGGTATATAAATAATATATATTTATATGTATACACACATATATATACATATATATACATGTATATGTATATGTATTGTGTTGTAGCAAAGACTAAGTTAGGCAGTATAGAGATAATTAGCATGATGTCTGCCTTTTGGTCAATGAGCACTTGTAATTATTACAATTCAGGTATAAGTTATAACTATATGTATCAGTTATATATAAATATATGTTAGTTGCTGGATCACAGGACATTTGTCAAAGGTTGGAAAAATACACCCCAGGCTGCTGTCATGAAGAAGAATTTGGGCACTTGAGCCGGGAGTCACACACAGAAGAGAACAACTGTGTTAGGAAGGTTTTCTTATCAATGTTACCTGTTGGGAGAAACAGGATCTGGCTGACTGTTCTGTGTAACCAAACGAAGGACCTTCAAAAACCGCCGTGGGAAGTTTGAGAACTTCCCGAAGGAACTGGTCATATCTCCCATAAACCATCACTCCACTGGAGTCAGAGATCATTGAGAAAATATCTGATGGAAAGAAAGGGCGAAGGTATTTACCATACAAGCATTCTAAAGCTCTCTTTCAATGTCTCTTGTACTAATAACGCAGAACAAGTGTATTATTTATGAAAACCTACCATGAAACCTGATTTTTCTGCTGAAATAGCCTCAGCACCATATCCATTCCCAGTGTTTTCTTCTTGTTGTTCTTTCAAGACAGGGTCTTGTTAAAATATCTGGTGTCTTTTTGAAGGTGAGTTGAAATTTGGGTAATACTGACATATTTTGCTAAGACAGATAACACGGCTTTGTTTTGAGGTTAGTTATCAACTCATGTGTAATGCTGCAAAGGTAGATTTTGTATGTGTGATACATACTGCTGTGGTTTGTATGTGAAACATTCCTCACAGGCTCATGTGTTTGAACACTGGTTCCTATCTGCCATGGGTTGTAACATCTCCTCCCATCAGTGGGTGGTGCTGTTTGGGAAGATTGTGGAACCCTCAGGAAGGGGAGCCTTGCTGGGGGAAGTCTGCCGATGGGTGTGGACTTTGAGGTTCTGTTGTCTGGTCCCACTTCCCGTCCTTTCTCTGCTACTGGACTGCTGAGGCCGTAAACAGGCTGGTCTCTTGCTCCTGCTACTGTGAATTCTCTACCAAAACAACGGGATCCCTTGGGAACCCTTCTCCTTTTACGTTGTTCCAGTCAGGACATTTTTCATGGCAACAGAAAAGTAAGACAAAATTGTCAGCCTCTTAGGAGACAGAATGAATTAGCAGTCACTGTAGAACTGGGGGAGGCCCAGGTATCACTTATCCAATTAGCAATTTATCCATTTGTGTCATTATCAAAAGTTTAGGGTTCAATTTAGTGTTTTTGAAAAATAGAGGACACAATAGAGATAAGGATGAAAAGAAAGAAGCCAACCCTTGAGTAAGTTACCACAGAAGCAGAAGGCTTTGTAGACCACACTGTCTAACAGGGTGGAGGGCCTGAATCTTATTGGGAAGGGTCTTTGTGTGGTGAAGACGAGCCTGGCTTCACAGACGATCTATGAGGTAAAGTCAGGGTTTCAGATTATTTGCCAGAGTACCTTTGCTTTCACTGAGCCATGACCTCCCTTCTGCCATGATGTGAGCTTAATGAACACTAACAGCTAAATTTCCAAGGTGCTTCCTAATCCCCTCCAACTCCAGATTTAGCAGAATGAAAGGACTTGCTATTAGTTTATCTAATGCCAATTAGACATCACTAAGCCAGTGTAGCTGTTGGGACAAACTATAGTTAAGTTCAATGTGCTACCTTTGTTCACTTTGAATGTAGCCAAGGCTATCACAAGCCATGGCTATCACATTTACACTGTAATTCTATGTCATATATTACAAGCTCTTACTGGGTTATGGCTTTAGGAGGTGAATCGACTCTCTTCATGTGAAATCTTCCCAATAAAAATGACGTTTCACAATTAATATTAATGGGATACTGTAGAAATTCTGAGGTTAATATCCAAAATATATAAGGAGCTCAAATAACTCAATAGTAAGAAAACAAACAAACAAACAAATAGAACACCTGACTGAAAATAGGTCAAGGAACCAAATATATATTTCCTGAAGGAAGACATACAAATTGGTTAGAGGTTTATAAAATTTTGTAGTGTCAATGATTATCTGGTAAATGTCAATAAAAGCCATGGCCAGGCACCATCTCTAGTAAAAATGGGGGGAAAAAAAGTACAAAAGAGAAGGAGTGTGAGAGAGAACTTGTGGAAAGGGAGTAGTTGTAAACTGTTGTGGAAATAAAAATTTCAGCCATTATGGAGGTAGATAATACAGTTAGAAAAAAACAGAATCACTACATAATACAGCAATTCTATTCCTGGGCACGCATCTAAATGAAAATAGTTTGTTGATGAAATCTGTGCTTCTAAGTTTATGATGCCATCCCCATAGCAGTGAAGATGTACCATCAAGCTAAGTGTCCATTAACAAATAAACAGATGAGTAAGAGTGGTCCATCCCCAGTGGAGTGTTGTTCAGCCATAGAAGGAGGAAATCTTACCACCTTCAACAATATTGATGAGTTCAGAGGGCGTGCTGTTGAGTGAAATGAGCCACACACACACAGACCCGAATGTTAGAGATTCAGACCCATATGGAAAATAAACATGTTGATTTCAGAAGCAGAGTACAGAATGGTTATTACTAGAGCCTGGAGTACTTAAAAGACAGGCAGGGTTGTGAACATGTCAATGACTATGTAGTTATAGCTAAGAAACAGTTCAAGAGAGAGCCTTCACAGAAGGGTGACAAGGTCATGAAATGCGTGTTAGTACAGTTGATGAATGCCTATGTTCTCCTCACAAAACCCTGTGTAAAATGGTGCATATGTTAATAAGATAGATCTAACCATTTCACAGTGTATTTATGTGCAAAGTATATTATAAGCCATTAATTTTATATTAATTAAAAAAGACATTCAATTTGAGGCAAAGTGTTGTCGTCATCATCTCTGCAATGTTGTTTGCTTGCTGAGTTTTATGTGAGGCTCTAGTCAAACTGTTCAAGAATAAATAAGTCAAAAAGAAGTTACCAGCAGGACAATATATTGGTTAACTCTATACGTAGAAGCTGGAACATTCCAACAGAAGGAGTTAATTACAAGATGAGGACTATTAAACCCAAAAGGAGGTCACTTTATGCTTACGGTGCTCTGCCATATGCCCACAGAAAGTGCCCTTTTTTCCACAGGCTGTCTCAATGGTGCCACCAGGAGTAATGTGGTAAATACTGTGCATACTGGGTGACTGTGGCCCTAAGTACTTGTAAAATGGAATTAATATCCCCTTTATTGCATTTTAAATCATTTAACAACACTTACTTCATTTTTTTTTCTGTTGTTAAATGTGCTTGTGTTAGTTGCTTGCCTAGCCGCCGTGCATTTGATGTATATTTTAACATTTTTATTTTGTGTGTATGCATGCATGCATGTATGTATGCCTTCTATGTGTGTGTGTGTAGATATGAGGAAAAATATTAGGAGCTGATCGTCTCTGTCCACTTTGTGCAATCCTAGAATTTAATTTAGGTCTCCAGGTCTATGTGCAATCACTTCTCTCCACAGTCATCTTGCCAGGCTTCTGCTCAAACCTGATCCTGCCTTAGAGGAAGAGTGGCTCTTCCCAGCCCAGGTTCTGAAGATGAGTCATAAGGCTGCCACATTTTCCTTTTACCAGTAACCACTTTAGTGACTGCTCTGAGAATGGGCAATGAGACTGGACAGGAGAGAGAGAGAGAGAGAGAGAGAGAGAGAGAGAGAGAGAGAGAGAGAGAGAGAGAGAGAGAGAGAGAGAGGAGAGGGGAGAGAGGAGAGACAGAGGAGAGAGAGAGGGGAGAGAGAGAGAGAGAGACAGAGAGAGAGAGAGAGAGAGAAGAGAGAGAGAGAGAGAGAGCAGGAGAGCTTGGCAGAAGAGCCCAGGTCCTCCAGAACAAGGACTCACTGGCTTCAGGAAAGGCTCAGAAGGCCCTGTTGTTTAAAAGGCTGCCTTTTATTAGTTTGGCTCAAATTTATTCTAATACATGACTGGAGAGATGGCTCAGCCATTAAGAGAACTGGCTGCTCTTCCAAAGGTTCTGAGTTCAATTCTCAACAAGCACGTGGTAGCTCACAACCATCTGTAATGTGGCTGGTGCCCTCTTCTGGCCTGCAGAACACTGTGTACATAATAAATAAATAAACCTTAAAAAACTAGGACTCTTTAATTTATCTGTCTATGAATACAACATTGCGTGAGTATTTGAAGATGCTATTGAAGATTTTAATTTTTTGAAACATTTCTCTAATGTCTGACATAAACGGCTGATTATGACATGAAGGCAGCAGCCAGGCTCTTCTGGGTTTCTCCTCTGGCTTCATTCATTTTGTTAAATTTTCTTTTCTTAGCCCAATCTCGAAGAAAGTGCCTTCTAGATAATTCTGAAGCCACTTAGAGAGTGACAAGAAACCACTTGTTCCTGGAACTTAATGTCTCCCAGTCAAAAATGAAGCCCATAGTTTTCAAGTTCTTTATTTCCTAGGCTAACCAAAGAGAAATGGACTGGCCCCAGCCTCTGGGTTTTGTCTCTGAATTCTGGCTGCATTGGATAACTCAGGAAAGGAATCACAGATGTGATGGAAGCAGATGGCATCTCAGGTTTGCCATCCTGTCACTAATCTGGCTAGCCAGTGAGAAAATGTTCATCCAGTATGTCTGGCTAGATTCCAAAGGAACAAAGGGTTTCCCATCTTTTACTCACACCTTTTTGACTACACAGAATCTAACAAGCAGAAAGGGAGGAAGGTGCTCAGGGTTGACAGAGCTAGGAGGCACTCTCCTTTAATACCACCCCCGCATTAAGATGTGGAAGGAGACTAAAGAAGTGAAATTATGTCCACAGTGTAACTTAGCAAATTAATGGCATGGCTGGACTCACAACCTGGATTGTCAATGCTAATTGTCATGGCTTCCTAACATAGCACTACATGCCAAACTCACAAGATTTAGGGTTAGAGATGGGTGAAACCACAATATCAAAAACACTTTAAATTAGTGAAAATGGAGTACTTTAGTATCAGAAATATTCTAGCTAGAGACAGGCAGTTACAAATTATGATAAGTTGAAAGTAGAGAGGAATGTTCATTTCATTAAAATTTATCTAATGTGGAAATGTTTTTATTATAAAAATTAAAGGCCAAAGAAGACTGCATTTGAAATGGCTCTCACAGAATGAAGGAAGGCCGAGGTAGACAGGGATGTGGCAAGACTAAGGGAGAGGATGTAAGGCACACGGCAGAAACAAGCAAGGAGGGGGAATGGGGATAACTTACATCTTAACTTGTCCATGATCTTCCCTCCACACAATGTCGCCAAAGCCATTTTGACAGCAAATACTGAGATTTTACCATGGCCTTCCCTGTTTAATGATAGCAGAAAAAAAAAAGATGTTATTTAGGGTATGTCCAATAAAGAATGTTGACATTTTCTACTCTGTAGAAATTGTAGGATACATGACGGCATATATTATGTGGACACATTTTAGAAAAGGTTGTGAATACAATTCAACACACTTTGCTGATAAACTGTCTGTTTGATGCTTTTGTTTTTCAAGAGACAATAGAATCTCCTAGTTTTTTTCATTGTATATGTCACTTGCTAAAAGTAAACGCTGGTAACTAGAGAAATATGCCTTAGATAGCCGTGGGTTTAAATAGCAGATCATGAATTTTTTTCCTTTGGGTTTCATGAAATAATTTTATGCATAATTCCAGTCTATAATTTATTCAAACAGACTTCAGAAACTTCATATTTTATTTCCTTAGAGAATTATTAACTTTTAAGTTAGGCTAAGTATGTGGACTTCTTTTTCCAAGTTCAACTTTTGTTTTTTGTTATTTTTGATATTTTATTTTTTATTGAAAATATTCTTCTCATATACAGTTCACCCTGACCACAGTTTCCCCTCCATACACTCCCCTAGTTTCCCACTACTCCCCTGCCATTTCCCTTCAGAAAAGAGCAGGACTCCAAGAGACAACTTTTAAGAACACATTTTTTTCCAACTATTATTTTCTAAACACAAACCAATTGTTTGTATGTGTGATATATATACTTTAGAAAGACAGCTAGTATTTTAAGAGGTCAGAAAGTAGGAGCTGGGCTAGAGAGATGGCTCAGTGAAGTGTCTGCTATGAAAGCATGAGAACCTGAGCCTGGATCCCCAACACCTACATAAAAGCTGGTTATGATGGCACATTTTTGTAATGTCTCCATCAAAGATGCAGAGCCAGACAGATCTTTGACTAGCTCAGCCAAACCAATGAGCTCTAGGATCAGTGAGAGAACTTGTCTCAAAATATAGATCCATATGCCTTAGGAGCATACATGCAGGATTTCTCAATAAAATACTTGCAAACAGAATCCAGGAATGCATCCAAAATATTTTCTACCATGATCAAGTTGGCGTCATCCCAGAGATTCAGGGATGGTTTAGCATACAGAAATCGATAAATGTAATCTACCACATACATAAACTGAAAGACAAAAACATCTCATCTAATTAGATGCAGAAAAGGCCTTTGACAAAGATCTAACACTCCTTTATAACAGAAATTCTGGAGAGATTAGGGTTACCAGGGAGATACCTCAACATAGCAAAGGCAATACACAGTAAATCCACACTGAACATCAACCTAGATAGAGATGAAAATGGAAAACATTTCCACTAAAATTAGGAACATGATAAGGGTGCCCATTCTCTCCATATCTGTTCAGTATAGTACTTGAAGTCTTAGCTAGAACAATAAGACATCTGACAAAGACCAAGAGAGTACAAATATGAAAGGAAGGAGAAAATATTATTTGCAGATGAAATGGTTTTATATTTACGACCCTAAAGACTCCAGCAGGAAACTCCTATAATTGATAGGCACTTTTAGTGAAGTATTACTATATGAAATCAACACATGAAATCAGTAGCCTTCTTATATACAAATGACACACAGAGAAACAAACCATGAACACAGTGCCTTTTACAATAGTATTAAAATATTTTGGAATGATCCTAATCAAAGGTATGATAGACTTATTTAATAAAACCTTTAAGGTAATAAGGAAAGAAATTGAAGAAGACTCCTGGATATGGAAAGATCTCCTATGCTCATGGATCAGTAGGATTAATAGTTTGAAAATGCCTATCCTATCAAAAGCAACCAACAGATTCAATGCAATCCCTATCAAAATTACAATAAGAAAATTCTTCATAGTTGAAAACAACCTTCAACTTCATATGGAAACTCAAAATACAAAACAAAACAAACAAACAAACAAAAAACAAAACAAAACCTAGGATAGCTAAAGCAAACCTGAATAATAAAAGACCTGTTGGAAATTTCACCATCCCAGATTTCACATTGCATTACAGAGCAACAGTAAAAAATTCAGTATGGTATTGCATAAAAGCAGACACATTGATCAATGGAAGAGAACTGAAGAACCAAACACAACTACATAGACACTTGGGTTTTTTAAAAAGAAGCCAAAATTATACACTGGAGAAAAGATACTATCTTCAACAAACGGTGCTGGTCAAACTGGATGTCTGTATGTAGAAGGATACAAACTGATCCTCATTTACCACCCTGAACAAAAACTCAACTCCAAATAGACAAAGGCTTTTAGCATAAGACTAACTTTCCTGAACCTTAAAGAAAAGAGGGTAGGGAATTCACTTGATATACATTGTCACATGAAAGGCCTCTCTGCCCAGGACCCCCAAAGTATAGGCACAAAGACCAACATCAGTAAATGGGACCTCATGAAGCTAACAAGCTTCTGGATAGCAAAGGACACCACCGTTCAAGAGAAGCAGAATGGGAAAAATAACTTTATACATCTGATAGAGGGCTCGCTTCTAGAACATACAAACAAAGCAAAAAACAAATAAACAAAAAAAAAAAAAAAAACCCAAAACCTAAAAACAAAACCTGGACATCAAGAAAGCAGTTCAGTTTTAAAAAATGGGTTCCAGTACTAAATAGAGTTCTCAGTTCTCAAAAGATGAAACACAAATGGCTAACATTTAAAAATTTTCAACATTATTAGCCACCAGAGAAATGAAAATTAAAACTATTTTGAGATTTCATCCTACACTAATCTGAATGGCCAAGATCAATGAAACAAATGTTGGCACATACTGACAAGGATGTGGGGGAAAGGGGAACACTTATTCATTGCTAGTAGGCGTGAGAGCTGGTATAGTCCATAGAAATCTGCATGGAAGTTCCTCAAAAATCTGAAAATATATCTACCACAAAATTCAGCTATACCACTCTTGGGCATATACCCAAAGGACTCTACATCACTACAGAGATACTAGATACTTGCTCATCCATAGTCATTGCTGTTCTATTCATAATAGCCAGAAAGTACAAACAACCCAGATGTCCATCAACTGATGATTGGATAATGAAAATGTGCTCACATTTACAAAGTGTCAAGAAAAATGAAATTATGACATTTGTAGGTAAATGGATGGAGATAGAAACATGCATCCCGAGTAAGGCATTCCAGAACCCCAAAGACAAATATTACATATTTTTTCTTATATATAGATGTTAACTTTTAAGTTTTCCATTTGTGTGTTACAGTCTGACTAACACAGAAGTTAGGTACTTTGTAAGGAACCAGGGAGGAGGGGATCTCCCAAGGAAGGGAACATAGAATATAGTGTTATGGAGACATAAAGGGGAAACTAGACTAGGAGGACTAAATGGGGTAGGAGTGAGCGAGCAGGGTAAAAGAGAGGATATGGGGAAGGACAATTAACCCCCAAAACCCCACATGGAAACCAAGCACTGTGGATGATTCTTAAACATACATACATACATACATACATACATACATACATACATACATGAAAGGAAGTTAAATGGAGTCACCATATAATGGGGAGGCAATACCCAAACTAGACATAATATGTTATTAAATAAATTCTTCAATACCAGGAATGAGTAACATCTTGTTGAACTGTTAGCCTAAAGAATCCCACAGACCCTGCTCAACACCACAGGCTATTGTCAATGCTGTTGGTTAGCCTCAACAACGTGACAGTAAGGCCCTGTTGCTGAAGATACCACGTATTCATGCCATTGAGCTTGTGTCTAACTAGACATGTCACCCTACTGACTAGTGATTACGGTACTGGAAATTACTGTGCATGCTACTGAAGAAGGGAAGTATTCATCATTCTCACACAACTAGGAACTCTGTGACCCACAACAGCATCTGCCTGCAGGATATTCTGGCACATCAGTGGCACAAATGTGTGGGGGTAACCAGTCCATTTTTTATGGGATTAAAAGTTCACTCCATAAGATGAAACCCATTTCTGTCACTTTGAAAGTGACCAAGAACCTGAGACTAGATACGTTGTGCCCCTAGAGGAAAACCTACTACTATTATTCTGCTAAAGCAACACAGCAATAAAATGACTCCTAATGATATAAGGCTATACCTATATATCAGTGAGCCACTCAGCCCTCTTTCAGTAGATGGTAACTGACAGAGACCCATAAGTGGGTGAGAGAGTTTGGGGCACTCAGCTCTAAATGGGATGTCTTTGTCAAATCCTCCCCCGAAACATCAGGGATCTATGTGGAAGTGGGGGTAGACAGATTGTAAGAGCCACAGGTGGTGGGTGACTCAGAAGAAAAAGTGTCGCCCAGGCACAATAGGATGATACCCACATGAACTCATAGAGACTGTGATAGCATGTACAAGACCTGCACAATTTCAAACCAGACAAAATTCCAGCACAGAGAAGGGGAAGTAAGAACCAAGTTCTACCCCTAAGAAGCTATTTGCAATTGCTACTGTCTGGGAATGTTTTTCCAATGGCATGTCCCTGAGTATATCATTTACACTCCAGGGTAAGGTGTGTGATCAGGATTAGTTGCTCAGAACCAAACAGACTCCATGGTTTTGTGTTATTGCTCTTTTTTGTTTTGTTTTTTGTTTTGGAGAAAGAAAGAACATGAAGGGAAATAGGGAGGATCGGGAGGAGTCGAGGGAGGGGAAAATGTGATAAAAATACATTAAAAAACCAGTAAATACAAAAAATTAAAAAAAAATGTGGACAGTATAAGAGGAAGGCCCTTAATAACCTCTGACTTACACACACATAAACATACTCACACACACTCATATACATACCCACACATGCATACATATATACACATGTAAACATACACACACTCACACACTCACACACATGTACACACACAGACATACACATACACATATACATATATATACATACATACTTGCAAGAACATGTACACATGGCCCTGACAGATATAAAAGCAGGAGTTCTGTTTTGACAGTTCCATTTCTTCTGAAACTAATAGAGAAGCTGCC